AGGGTTTTGCAATTCAAACAAATTATTGTGCTGTTTCTGGTGTTAATATAATGTACAGTAGCTAGCTTACAGACATTAATGCCAGCAAGCAGTGCTTTACCTCTCTACTTCTGTGGCACTTCCCTCCTTCTCCTCCTGAGAGATCACCTAGTTCTTTAATTTTCCTGGCATGTATGCTTGATGGTTGTATTAATGTTATGGGGAGAAATTAAATGTTGCTTGCTCTTCAGATGGCATGGTGATCAAATTGTTTGGTAGCTAAGGTTTAGTCCATGATGAGGTTGCTGTGTTGTATTGGGTCTTTCCCCAAACATTTTACAACCACAACACCCTTGAGTGCCAGTCCTCTAGGAGCAACATGCAACTGATTGCAATTAACATTACGTTAGGGAGGAGATGCAATATTCTCAGTCACTGCTTTCAATGGAAGTCAAAGCTGAAACAGTGGTATTTATGGTTAACTAATACATGTTCAGGGTTTATTGTTTACAGTCTGGGTTTGAATTACCTGGTTCACATTTGATCTTTTTGAGTGCTGGCTCTAATCCTTTCCCACTTGTAATTGTGTATATAGCACTTCTGCAACAGTACAAACCAGTCAACAGATGATTTACTACAGGTATTTGTTGTTCAAAGATACGAACTCTGCCTCATGGGGGTAGACTCATACGAGTGGGCACAACATATATGAAAAAAAAAAGAGCCATAGACTGATCTAAAGAAAACGGAATGCAGGAAAATGTTTAATTATTGATCAAAACCTTGTACAAATAATTGTCACTGTAGCCAAGCAGCTAACTATTGCATTCTGTTTGGCTTAAACAGGCACCTGTTATCTGGGGGTAATTCATGCTGACACCATATTAAGAAGACTCTCTCTTGGTTTCTACTGACTTTGATGGTTCAATATTGTGGCTGTAATCATAGCCAACTAACACGCGAGTAAAAACCTTGAGTTCACAGTTTTAATTGTTCAATATACTGTCCTACTATAACATGAACAATAAATCATGTTATCAACACACCTTTGTCGCAGTATGTGAGAACCAATCCTGGAGGAATTGGCAGAGAGAAAAAATTAGAATACTGTTGACATTGACAGCTTCATCTCTAATATCACTGTAAGTACTGAAAACCTTTTAAATTTTTTTTTCAAAATCAAATAGCACACTAGGTTTTGCTTCAGCTCGCTACACAGGAATTGAGTTAGTAGTTGGACCTAATAAAATTAATTTCCCTCAATGATATTATTTGAGGTTGGTTCTTCAAAATTAGTGAGATATATAGCATACCCAAAGTTGCTAATTTTCTACACTTTCATCACCTATCTGTAAATTTTACAGACAGATTGAGCTTAATAATTAAACGCTTAAAATCCTTACCTATAACCTTCATCCAGGCCTGCTTGCTTGTTGCTATTAGCACTAGCTGTGACTAAGCCTGTCTCTTTCCTTGCTTCACAGTATTTGAAATCTGGATGTGATTCTTTTGTTCTTCTCATGAGTTCTCTAGCTTTCTCCTTGTATGGCTCCTTCTGTTCAGGTTTCATTTCCCGCCAATGTTTAGCAAGGATTGTGCTGATCTCTCGATTATCTCTGCCAGGGTACAATACCTTGAAAGCCCTGCGGTACTGCTGACTGTATAACAGGAAGGCATTCATTGGTCTCTTGATGTGATTGAGAGGTGTCTCACTGTTGCCATTTTGCAAAGGTTTTGTGGAACTCTCCTCTCTCTCTACTGATCCTTGGCTGCTCAATTCTGAGATGGGCTCTGAGATGGGCGATAATGAGCTAGCTGGCAAGTGTTCATCGATTGTAAGTTCTGGAGTACTGCATGGGCTACTTGAGTCTTCTGAATTCTTTAAGACTGCATCATTTTGCCGATCAACTTCCCCAAAGCAAGCTTGGCTCAAACTGAGTGCATTGCTGTCTTGCAAAGAGGCTCTGAGATCCTCTGTTTTCAGCCCTTTCTGGAGGTAAGCCTCCCTGATGTTTTCCTGTAACTGCATGATATGACTGATTGTACTTTCAAGTATTTCTTTCTTTGAAAGACGGCTGTTGTTCAAGTTACTACATGGCAGCATTGTGCTGAGGTGTTGCAGCTCAGTCCTAATTTTTCTTTCCCTTTCTTTTTGCCTGTAAGCCAAAACAAATTTATTTAGTTTTCTCGGCAGTCAATGCAGGCTGGTGTTAAAAGCTAATGATTCAACAAACTTATCCTATCAGTGATGCAGTTCTATCTCTCACCAGATTGGAGAAGGGCACTTCAATAGATGAGAAGATCTGATCATCTTAGAAAAATACCTTGACCTATATCACCAAATTCTCCTGATGAACATTTTAGAAACTTTCAACATATAGTAAAGCAGAATTTCAATACTCAGCTTTAGACCTACTCCAATACAAAAGTATACACAAATCAAAAGACCTTTAGTTTGCAAATCTTAGCACAGTTCTTAGCTGTACTTACACTGACTTTTGCTGCATGTAATTGAGTGGATCTGCTAGTTTTTTAGGCTTTCCTTTTCTCTTGTTCTGAGTTTTAGCCTCCGGAGCAGACTTGTTTTTCTTTAATTTCCATGGTGTCTGTGTTCGAACTTCTATTGGGGGAGAGAGATTTGCTTAAAATGAAAAGAGAGACACTTGTTTCAACACATTCGAACAAACACAGACAACACTGCTAATAATTTGAAGTGTTGTTTCCAGATCTGTGTTTTTTTAATTATTCTAACAAGGCTGTCATTAATAGTTGTAACCTAAACACCTGTTACGTCTGGCCTTTGATGTTATGGGTGAGCTTAAATAGCTTGCCTGTTATTGGCACAATGCAGCAACAAAGTAACAAGCTTCTCACAGGTCTGAAGATCAAGACAACAGGTGGGTAATATAAACACTTTTATATTGGAATTAGGAAAATAGCATCCCTGTTCTAATATAATCTTATAGGCAGATTTCGGTAGATTAGTCATCATCAATTAGTGCCAAATGGGAATTGGTGGCACTGCATTTTGTTGTTTTAAAACTTTTGGTTTGTTCCTATTCTGAAAAATTGTCAAACGAACTATAAAGAGAATAACTTTCAATCAAATGATTTGTGTGGAATGAAATCTTCCTTGAGTTCATGAAGGGAAAATCTTTCAAAATATAATTGTCTCAGTGAACTCTATAACATTCTAGAACTGGAAGTCATTCAGCAGTGACTTAGAACTTTTTGGAATGTTCCATTGTATAAGTACTCATGGCTTATTCTGAATTAGAAACCTTTTTATAAGAGCATGAGGTTTGTCCATAAGAGAGTTCTGAAAAAGTTATGAAACTTAGTGCTTCTGAGTGCTGCATAAATGCAATTTTTTCAAATTATAGTTAAATAAACCATTTTGTTGCTGTTATAGACAATCCTAAGTTCTATCTGAAAACAAGGGGCAGGTTTGCTCATTGTTTTATTCAGGAACTTTGGTGTCACTTTTGAAGGTGTTTCTACACTGAATGTCAATGAAATTTTTCATCCTTAATCAAGGTATCTTTTAGGGTTGAAAAAAAAAATATCACAGTTATTGTTGGTGGCTAAAGCAATCCAGTATGAATTCTTACACTTTGTTCATGGATGAAAGCATTTGATGATGATATCTTTAAGTTACTACTGACAATTCATATTTGTCTACCTAATTTAGAATTATACATCTAGTAGGGGTCAGATAGAGCTTGAGCTGCATCCAGAATCTTCTCCTTTAGGGATTCAATTCAAATATTGTGGCAAATATCCCTACCAATTCAACATGATGACGTTTCTCCAGGGAAAAATTTTAATATAAATCATAAACAGTTGATAGCCACAAAACAGGTACAAACCCTTCATTTCCGTTCTTTTTATGCTTTTTTCTGGTTTGATAGGTATTGTACTGGGCTGAAAACTAAGCTGAAATGTCTCATCTCCTGATACTGCTTCCACTGGACTAATGCTTCCATTTTGCCACTTTAGATTTCCATACTGAAAATAAAACAATAATTTATAAGGCTATGAAATGATGTATTAACAGCTCTACAGCTTTTGAATTTTCCTTATCTTGTTAATTATCCAAGAGTCACTGAATTGAGAGAAGAACAGTCACTAAACCCTAATTTAATGCTTTCTTCTAAGAATTTTCCTGAGCATGTGATTAGAAAGAGTTAATTAATGTTCATTGAATTTTTGTTATGCAGAATTCTAAACCTTACCAATTCAGAACTTTAAAAACCTTCTCAAGTTGAAATTAAGTAAACTTGGTGCAAGTATCAATTCTACAAAAGTAGGAGTCACTTAATTTTAGAATTTTTTTAATCTTCCCAATTATTTAAAATTTTTATCATTTGATTTTCTTGTGTTGTTCAGTTCCAGAAAATATCCATACTCCCCCCACTGAAGGGATTGGAATTTCCTGGGGGGTGGGGGGTTCTGTAAGACCCAAAAATTTAAAGAAATGTATGAAGCTCAATTGGAATTTCCAGAGGGGTNTTTCTGTTGTATTTTTTGACATTGTCAATGTCTGACTTGCATCTATGGATGTATTGTTTGTAGGTTTTTTACTGTAGATTTTCTAGGTATAGTTTTATTGATATTTAGTTTTAGTACAAACAACCCCACAAGCTTCTTAGCTTTAACTTTTATGGTTTTAAAATAAAGGCTATTTTTCTATCTGACACACTATTCCCATAGAAATTGTATAGCTGCTTTGACTCAATGACATACTGTAATTATATGTTTAACAATGTAAATTACTGATCTTACTGATGTGTTCAAAAACTCTGAAACAGGAGGAAGAGCCAAGTGTGGTTTCCACGGTGATACTGAACATAGCAAAAAAAAAAACCAAACAAAACAAGTTTAAAGATAAATCCTATCAATATCTATATCAAGGTTTGATGAATAACAAAAGCATCTGAGTTATAATAAAATATTAAAAGGGCTGTGGTTTTCCAAGATCATAAACCTAGACAAGCAAATATCAAATTTCTAGACTGGAGATAAAAATAGATTTTTACCTTCTGTGCTCGATGTAACTTTAGAGTCTTGTTCAATAACGTCACTTCCTACATCTACATTTCCAAGCTAAAATTTTTGCACACGAATAGAACATATTTTAGAATAAGCTGAGTTAATAATACGAATAAGTTTTTTTGTTTTTAAACACAAATTGTGATACATCTAAACCTTACCCCTTCCATAAATGGATTATCCCCATACCAGGCATCACTACAATGAGGATTATATCCACTGAAATTGACAAAGAACATTCCAGAAAATGAGTAAGGTGCCAACAACTTTTTACTGATAGACATACTAAATAATTTTAGAACTATCCCATAAGTATCGTAAAACCTTGCAGAATCTTTGTTAGATCTTAGCACAGATCATGGTACGAGCTCTGAAGATTCTTCATGGCCTCTAACAAGATCCTTCAAGATCTTTGGCAAGAATTTTCATTAAGGTCTTCAACAACCTCTAAAAGGACCCTCAAAGAGATTTTTGGCCTCTGTGCAGATGCCTACTGTAATAGACATCTGCAGGAGGTGTCTGCACGCACCCTAATTAGAGCTTTGAAAACCCTTGAAAGATTTACACCAAAGTCTGCAATTCAATAAGAGGGCAAATATGCCAAAGATTCACCTGAAGTTTTGTGGTGGAACAGCATGGTGCCAAGTCTGAGGGAATGCATAATGATGAACAGTGTGTGAGTTACTAGTTGTCATTGGTAACAATGAACCTTGGAAAGGCTGACCAATATGTATGGTAGATTCAAATCCCCAGGGCGGAGAGAACATTCGGCTTTCAGGTGAAACACCTGACCAGTCTATTGGAAAGGAAAAGAAAATGCTGCACTAAACAGATAAATTACTTAGAAAACAAGTTGAAAAACTCTCTATCTTGTGTACTAATTACAAACTATTTACCAGTATATTAATCAGCTAACATGACAGACTGCATTCGATTTTACCCACATATCCAGTAGGGGCTCCATTAACTAACATGAAAATTATATTTCATTTGCCCTGAGAAACTGGGATTTGAAATAGCTAACTAAATGTGTTATTGTTTGGGACATTCCTTCCCATGCCATACCTACTTAATGAATTTAACACTGTATAAAAAGATATTAAGATGAAATCTGCTAGAAAATTGAGCAATTTCGGGTTTTAGTGGACAAAAATCTGGTACCAGAATAATTTTAAGTATTTTACAGTCATTTTTACATTTTCTTATAGCTAAATACATAGATAACTGCCTGAAATAACACCAAAAATAATTTCCCATGGGAATGAGAGAAAATAAATTTCCAAGTTCAGAGAACTTGTGCAAACACAGGCAAAATTTTATCATCAGTTTCATTTCACCAGTACTTTCAAGTGTTTCATATGAAGTTTAACATTTGTTTTCGATGTTTGGTGTTGCTAGAAATGTTTTTTTTTTTTAGAAGATATTTAAAGCAGTCATACAGAAGTTTGCAATACGATATAAATAATCTTGATACTAGGTTTTTGTCCACTTGTTACTCAAAATTCTGGTGGATTCAGTCTTAAATATGTTCTTACAGTCATACTAGAGGTGAGATAGGTCATTGCTAGACCATGAGCAGCCCATATTTGAGGGCATTTACTAGCTGCATGGAGGAACTGTGTAGACTGCAGATCTCTAGCATGAGAAGAGCTGGCACTTATACTCATCCAGAGGGGAACATAATTTTTGATACCATTAGAAAGTACAAAAATACAACTAGACATGAAATTGTGTAGTTCCAGAAAATATCCAAACCTCCCCCACGGATGGGATTTTTTCTAACACCTCCCCACCCCTCAGGAAATTCCAGTTAAGCTTCATACATTTCTTTAAATTTTTTGGTCTCATAGAGCCCCCCACCTCCCAGGAAATTCCAATCCCTTCTGTGGGGAGAGTGGATATTTTCTGGAACCACACATTACTTAGCAGAATTGACAAGTTAATTTTGGTAGGCTAAAGTCTGGGAAGCAAGTTTTACTTTTGAAAGGTTTTTATTAGTGATGTCACAAGTAAATGGTTCATTTAATTTTACYATTCTTCAGATGTCAAATATGATATGTCATTTACCCTCTGGTGGGACAAGAYGGAGCAKGGGAAAAAAGTTCWTAGAATTAATTAAGTTATTTTAACTTATTAAGTCCACCAGCACAGAGCAGCTAAGAATCTGGAACCAGAAGGAGTGTTCTGCTAGAGAGGAACTGAATAAAAAGCCTCAAGCCAGTCAACATTAATATAGCTATCACGGCTGCATGTTTCAAAAAAACAAAATAATGTAATTATGTTCATTTTGATGAACATTAAAAATTTCTTATTTGTCTAGTTTATGTTCAAACATACTTAAACATAATGAAAACATTAATTTTGAGCTTCTTAATTTTACGTGAAATAAGTCTACCCGTTCAAAGTTGATACAATATTTGATTAAATCATTTTTTTTTGTTACTTCGAGGCTTACTTTTTTTCCAAATTGGGCAATTACAATCTCAGGGGAGGGAGTTTATCTAACCATCACATGATGAGGCTCAGGGGAATAAAAAACTAAATAAATGTTCAGTGGACAATCTAAAATATTTTAAATTGCAAAATACTAATTCTAGTTGCACATCATAACCAAGCTATTGTATAGAACGTGATCAGGATTATTATTTTTTATATATAGTAGTGTAGTTATTTCTTATTCATATATTAGTTACAGTTATCCATAAAGATTATTTAATAAATAGACACAAATTACCTTTTGCAGTAGAAACAGAATCTATCATAGGGTATGGAGTTGAAACCCTGGACTGGAAAGGAATTGGGGTGAGCACTCTGCTACTGGACTCCATTCTTACTGTGTGCGGCATTGTTGAAGACAGAGGGGTTGACAGAATGGTCTCTGGACACTCAAAGGGTATTGGCGAGCTTCTGAAGCTATATTGCTTAGAAAAGAGAGAGATCAAAAGGATGGTACATTTACTCTGATATTTATTGCAAAATGATTTTCTGCAATGTAAAATGTCAATTAATAATTTGGTTATGGCAGAATTTAGGAAATCAGTGGCTAAACATATCCATTTATGTAAGATGTTTAAGTATGTAGTACAGAAGTTAGATTTTCAGATCCATGGAATTAGGCAGCATTTGGATGTACTGTTCATTTAAAAACTCAGTATTGAGTTGCTCCAGAACATCTAAACAGCCCACGAGGGTCTTTTGAATTCTAATTGGAAAGTGGGTCTCAAAGGACAAATGTTGAGACAAATAACCAAATTTTCCTAAGAAGCTGAGTATTTAAACCAAAAACTGTCTACTTGTATGGGCATTTTCCAAAACAACATATTGTCCTCCTACAAGCAGTTGATTTTCCTCGTTTATTCAGCCACCTAAACTATATATTAATTTAAACTTCTAGTGATTGACAAATCATTCTGCAATATATTGGGTATGCTTAGAACTAATCAAATTTGAGAATTTTGTAAAAAGTCTAATTAAATTAAAGCAGATATGCTTAATTTTAGCCTGAAATTAACTGTAATTTTAGACAAAAAATTGTCCTTAAGTAACAGATGAAGTGTTCAACGATTAATTAAAAACCTAATGGGAAGAATTCAATTCTGCCCACTGTTCCACACATTTCTTACAAGTTATAGTTAAGATTTCAAATTATCTGGCTTTCCAAGTAAGTTCTTTTTCAAACGTCGTGATTTTCCGAGTGGAGTATGAAGGTTCTCTAAAGAAAGAATATTGGTGAATCAAATAAGTTGTTGTGACAGATGTTTGTGGTCCTTAACTTTTTTCAAATTTTCACTTCAAACTCTAGAATTTTATACAATTCTATTGACGCAAAGTTTGTATTAGGCTTGGCAAGAAGTCAGTTTTGAAAACATCCTGCGAGATTTTATTAAAACAGAAAAAAAATTAGTCATAACCTTTTCTGATCGTATAGTTTTAAGCTCTCAGTTTTCTTGGAATGTAAATCTTGAGGATTCCATGGCGATTTAGATGTCAGAAACAACCCACGTAAGGCTCACGGATGCACATTCTTGTCGAACTGCGGAACCACGTGTTTGCAACATTTAGGGCGAGGGAACGAAATATTAATAACTTAAAGTATAAGAGGACTTATGACGATGATTTAATGCCGCGACTATAAGCAGCTTTCAGCTGGTTCTCTCGGAAACCTGTCCAGAACGACTGATTGCTAACTTCATAAAGGTAGATTAAAAAGAGATCGTTAGATGACGTAGCAGATAAACAAACCAAAGGCGGACCTTGGGAAAAGCTGGCAAAACTAATGATGTTCAAGTTTTAACTGGATCATCAATTCCAGAAACGATAAAGCGTCAAAAGCTTTGGTTCTGTTAATCTTTAACCGCAAGCTTAATTTCGCTTGAACTCGTGCAAGGTCGTGCAATGCCCGTGCAATGCCCACTTTAAGTGACTTTCGTTTTTCGCTCCGTATAAAGCTTGACAAAGCTTCACCCAGGATTTCGATCCAAATCTGGGCAATTATCACGTTGAAATACATTTAGCATTAAACATACCACATTCCGAGAGTTCTCTGTGATCGCTACGGAACGAAATTCGCTGTCTGTTTGACCTGCCATCGACGTACAATTCGCAAATCTCCACTCAAGGGTTGCTGATTTCAGCGATCAGACTGGTGGTTAACGGCGGGAAAATGACAGCCTTGGTCACGTGTAGCTGTCAACTTCCAATTTTGGCTTTCCCATCTTTTCTCTGCCCTTATTGAAATGATTCAAAAAGCAGCAATTTACTTTTACTACAAGACGAGCTAGCTCATATCTATGAAGATGAGATTGCACTCTCAGTAGAACTTCAAAAAACAGATCGATAAACAAATGCAGGCTCCTGAGAAATGAAAAGAAATAAATGCCGTAAATGAATAGAAGAGAAGAACCAATTTTTGACGAAGTATAGTACAGCTCCCAAGCCCGTCAGACAGCCTTTGCTCGGTTCGTGCTTTACAGGAACAGATTGATCTAGCGAGGCGGTTTCCCCATTCTGTTTTAAAATTGTCACATAGTTAGTTAATTAGTTATTTTGTTTGTTTGTCCTAATTCCTTGTTTCAGAAAAAAAGGAGTAAAACGCCTTACTTCACATGAGCCGAACCCAATTCGACCAATTAGACTCATGTGAAGTACGGAGTTTGACCCGGCCTCAGTTCAGATAAAAAGGGCGTGGTCGCACCTTTTTTTGCGAGGGGGAGGAGGCCTTGCATCATTTATTGAGACTACCTTTTATCGGCCTTACATACACAAAACGATTTGAGGCTCAGTTACAAGAGGGAATTTTTCCTGCGACTTGCAACGCAGCAAACGTTTCATTGCCAGTTTGTACAAGAAAAATTGCATCGTCTAAACACGACTTCAAGACGATCCAAGTTTGTGTCTTGTTCTGTTTGTTAGATGTTTTTATATCGCAAGTTGTGACAATTGGCACGCGAACAAATGCAAACTCAAAAGAGGTTGATTGCAGGTTATGCCCGTGAGAACTATATGGCGGGGTGGAGATTGCTGATTACCTAGTACGGTGAACCTTCGATGGGAACTGGGGTGGTGTTTATGTATCCATGGTACCTTTGTAGGGAGAATGGAGTTTGGAGGTTTTAATGAGAACGGGCTTGCATTTGAGAAATGGGGTGGTTATTTTTGGATAGAGTTCTGTCAAGAAATTATCTTTGCTGAAGAGGGCAAATCACTCATTCGTTTTTTTTTTTTTCGTATTATATTATGCTTTATTTAAAAATGTATCGTACAAAATCTGAAACGTCTTATTTACCCTCAAATGCGTTCTCCTGTTTTAGTCTCCTCATCAATACATGACTAGACAAATAAACCGTAGGTAAGGCTCTATGTTAAATAATACGCGGTATTTACTTCCAAGAAAGATAACATCAGTATTTGTTTGTCGCTTCATAAATAGTTACCCCACAAATGCATGACTTGCAGCAATAAAAGTTAATTCCTTTATGGTAAATACTGAATTCGAAAAATTCAGTTACAACAAACCCGACAAGGTTTGCTGCATTTGTTCGACAATGTTTAGGAAAAAAGCAGACTTGAAGCTAAATCTCACAGAACCTGAGATACAGGGATACTCTACCTAGCCTAAACTACAACATTGTATAACAGTTTGTAAATGTTAGATCTACCCGATTGCTATCTACTCTTCCCTTTCGGCATGCAACACAAGTGGCTGTGCGTTGTAAAATGGCATACTGCATTACAAATCTAATTACACATTCTTCTTCTAGTCACCTGCAACCTTGTAAAAAACAGGAGCGACGCTGTAAACAATAAGATTCATTTATAACATGGCACGGTTTTAATGAATTCCGTCCCTCACCCGCCAGTCTAGAAAACAACGAAACAAAGATAGCAGGAGGGAGGCGGAGAAGTCCGATATTGTTGCTCGGCGTCGCCCTGTTTTGTCCAAGACTACAGGTTCAGATCTTGTTGGGGCATGTTGGGAAATACAAAGCTTAGCAGGAAGGTTGTATTTGAAGAGACAATGCACAGGCTTCACGTGATCAGCCATTTTTGTGATCCATTACCAGTAGCAGTAGAATATGTAAAACATGGACCAGGAGAGTTTTGCTTTAAAACATTCCATCCTTGTGTCATAGTTTAAGCTGGACAAAACACTTTTTACTACTCTGATTAAAATGCCCAGCGTTTGGCCTTAAGTTGTACTTGCATTATTCGGTCTCGCTACATTCGTTGAGTGATTTGGTCAGGACCCTACGAGCCAGAAACGGCCCTGTAATTTTAATAGTTCAACGTTCCTCTATCGTGTAAATTACGTCCCATACAAATGATCACCTCCCACACAATCGCACCACTAGTTACAAGTCTGGACCAGCTACAAATATTCGAGAATGTACTTGACTTAGTGCTCTAAGACCCTTCTTAACTACTAGAATCATTCAGTTCACCTGACGTGTATTAGCTATAAAGTGTTGTATCTGCATTATATTGGTGAGTACATGTAGTCTGATCAGATGTTACAACTCGATTTCTCATCAACCTAAATAGCTTAATGTGAGTTCCTACTGTATAGATTGTATTCCTTTCATGTTGGATAACTTGTATTGAAGTCACAAGTAGTGATAGTGTCTCTTGATCGCCTTCTTTGTCAGTGTTCTTTCGAAGGTCATACTCCTCCAAGGAAGAAGATAGTTCGATTTCTTGGATATTCGTCTCTCCCTCACCGCTAACAGTCGGGCAGTAGCGGCCGGCTCTGATATTTGAAAACAACGTGTTTGGACCGCAACCATGTTTTAAAATTCCTCTTCGTTTTCTACTTCCATCCTGATGCTGTCCAAGAAGCTGGAGTTTCTTTTCTGCATTTTCGACCTTTGCTTTTCAAAGTTTATCTTTTTGTCCTGCAAGAAAGAATGGTTTTGTGAGTTCCCTGATTGTGTCTGCGAAAGGCGTTGCTTGTCTACTTCTGTTCACTCACTTGAAAACAAGCTTCGAGCTTTTAAACGTGTGTGTGTGTTAACTAGAAAAATACCTTATAAATGTCTCAAGTACTTAGGAAAAACTAACTGTAAAATACTAGACTCTGTTCCAGACCGGATAGAAATGTTAGTTTATAGGACGGGTGAGGAGGACTCACGTGACTACTCACTTCTATTGTGGTCATAGAGTCTGTCCTGGCCCGTGACGCTGACGTTGGACGCTCAGTTCCAGACCCCGGCCGCTGTCTAGAAGCTGAGTCAAGACGGGAATCCTTCATGTGTTCTACTACTAAGTCCTCCTAGTGAAAGAAAACATACGTCAAAGTTAACTCATTTTTGTTTGAACAACAGCGCTAGCATTGTCACTATTACTCTCTGGTATTATTCCATTCCAACAGATAAGTACATTCCGCTGTATGTGCCGTGTTAATCGATTGGTGTTTACTTCTGTTTATGTTTGTCAAGCTCAGTGATGCGTAAAATGTGCTATAACCAATCAGAGCACAGCCTCTTCCGCCAACAAATCATAACCAATGGTAGCCTGCGGACGCAGTCGTATTTCCGGTTGTCGCTTGTCTCCGCCGAGACAAGTGACAGCCGGAAAAACGTCTGCTTTCGCAGGCTAAAACAATGATAATTTCCTCCAGAACTCTCCCCGCTACGTGTTTCTTTCTTCGTGCTTTGATTAGTTCGTTACATTTCCGGCGGGGTGGCTTTATGTACTTTATGCTATAAGTATTTTTTTTCCTAACGTACCTCAGTATCGCTGATCCAGCTGTCCTCTCCACTCTCCAGCCCTCCCACCCCGCTGTCTGACACTTTGGACGGTACGCCATCTTGGTCGCTCCCCACAGAGTCAACACTGCAACAGCAAAGTCGACAAAAAGTTAAAAATGCAGCCAAAAGTACCAACCAGGGAATTAACTCAAACTTCCAACGCCAAACGTGACAACCTCGCGCTATTTGAGCTCACCTTTTCCTTCTCTTGTGCTCGCTGGTCATTAATTGAGAAAGAGTACTGTCCTGTCTTGTGAGTTCTTTATCTAAATGACAAACGAAGTAAGTGTTAACTGTGGTGAGATCTAAAAGCTGACTACACATTAACTCCACAAGCCACATGACTTTTAAAAACGATGACCGCCAGCAAAACCGACAAAGCAACTACCACAATTTTCTTCAGGGAACGATATGTTTTGCTGCAGTGAATAACTACAATACTGCCCTAATAAAGTTGAACCTCTGCCAAAAGCAGTCTCCCAATGACGGCCACTCCTCAACAAAGCCAAGTTAATTGAGGAGTGTGTCTATAAGTTATCGCAATAATGAAGTAAAGAAACAGAAAGTACGATAAGCACTTACTAAATTTTTTCAAGAGTTTAACCAACTCTTCATGCCCGTATTCCTGTAATGAAGAATGAAAACAACAGTCATTTAGTATTCTTTGCAAGAAAATGCATGCTTGCTAATGACTAGCAAGACTTCTCAAACACGACCTTGCATAACCTGGGCTTAGTTCAGTACGTCTGTGGTTTGGATTTTTTTTAGTTTTAACGCGCAGATTCGCAAACGACGATATATTATTTTATGAGCGTGACGTTACAAGAAGATTAGAAAAAAAACCTACAGTACTGCCATAAAGCAGTTGGTAATTAACCTAACTTCGCAATCTTGTTTGTCTTAACGGCCACATTTTTTTCAAATGCACAGCTCTGGTGTTGTTCGTTGAAACAGTTGACCTTCTCCTGGTTCATCTCAGCAGCAGTTCAGTATCTAGTGACTGAATTATGATTTACCTCGGCAATATCGAGAGGGGTTCGTCCGTTGTTGTCTAGCACATCTACCTTGGCTCTGTTCGCAATAAGCCACTTGACACACTCTGTATATCCACTACAAGACAAATCACACACGTTTAATTCGCCATTTCCACATCCCCCATAGTACCTCTTGTTTGCCCCCCAAAATTTTGCATAAGCATTGTCTTCAGTTTCTCTTGGGACGACTGTAATACCCAGGAGAAATGGGAAACAAAGGTTATGCAGAATTTTGGGGGGCAAACCAGGAGTATTATGGGGTATGTGGAATTGGCGAATGGCAAAATTGTAGAGGGTTTAGAGCGGTTTTCACTTAATACTCACTCAATACATTAAGTAATTGACTTATAAAAAGAACTCGCGACACTTTGTACGTAACTTCTAGTGTAACTTCCAGTTCTGTTTGCCTCTCTAAATTGTCTGTGTCCTTTGTGATTGGCCAGAGTGACTGCTTTAGTTTTGCTTTTACGACACTCAACTAAAATCCTCTCCATAGGGTCGCGAGTATTAAACAAACATGAATTTAACTCTTAAATAATGATTCGAAAATAACATATTAACAACGAAAACCAAAAATAAAACTCAGACTACGCGATAAGATCCCTTAAATTAAATACACCAGATTAAGAAACAACTGACAACTTTACCTCATGCAAGCAAGATGAAGAGGAGTGAGCTCATCCACTGTTCGGCCGCTTAGTGTGCTGCCCATTGCTGAAAGAATCTGATCAAACACAGCAGACACTAGTTTAGTTAGCAGAACTTCGCAAGATCAAGTAACTTGTGTAAGGAAGATATATGATGAAAGTTTTAGACAACAATCTCGTCCGTATCTGTTTCATAGTTATCGGAAAGGACTGCAGCGTTTCCTTTTGTCGAGCACTAATGTCAACTTTTACATTCATTTTGCTCACCTATCAATTCTTATGAGTTGTAAGACTGACTAAATTAGCATTCAATTGCTGGGGTGACATGATTGTGATTGCAAGCAAAACATTACTGTAACCCTACCATCAGAACTGCCCTCTGTAAAACCCACAAGCGAACAATTTGACTATTAACTTGACATGCGTGCTACTCACCATCATGCAGTTCACGTGACCATTCATAGCTGCCAAATGCATGGCGGTATAGCCAGTTGGAGTTTCCTCTGCTAAATCTACACCACTGACTGCTAGCCATTTAACGCAGTCCAATCGACCATTGGCGGCTGCTACATGCAGTGGGTTCATACCGCGTTCGTCTGTCGTGTTCTTCATCGCGGGCACCACTCGTATCAATTCCTTCACTCGCTCCAGGTCTCCATTTTTGGCGGCTTCGTGAATTGAAGAACCTTAAAAGAAGATAAAAGAGCGATAATTGAACTAATGAGATCTCTAAACAGTCTTCCACACAGACGGGTATTTTGGTCATTACATTTCCATTATCTAGGCTAAAGCATGACGAGAACATGACGAGAATGACACACGAAATCTTCAGTGAAAAGAAAAAGACTCCAACAAACCTCTCCTCAAGATATTTTCACTCTCACTGATGGACTCCCTGTGCAGTTCCCTTTCTTTCTCTTGTTTTGCTCGGACACCAGCTCTGAAGCCTTCAACAAAGTCATCACTTTGGGCAGAAACAGGGCGCTCGCGTTCATGCTGGTGGGAAAATGAACACGAATTTTTTTAGAATAGACAACCCAAAGTGTAAAAGCCGAATTCATTTCAACACTTCTTCAGCTTGGTTTTCCTAAATGCCAAACAGCTTCAGATTCAAATACATGTAGTTTAGAGTCTGTTACATTTAAATTGCTGTCACCTTAAAATAACTGTTTGGAAAGTTTGACAAACCGCACAAAAGCGGTTTATCTGCACCACTACGACCGTACAATCGTGCATTTTCATTTTCATAATCTGTGGTTCTACTACTTGATTTGTCGTTTGACGTTTCGTTGTACCAGCCAAGAACAGATCAAAGTGGCGTGACTGAGTACCTCTAGGAGCGGACTTTCCTGGAAGAATTCGATTCATAGCTCAAACACACAAAACATTGAACATTACCTCGGGTTTTGCAGCACCAGTAAACTCGACTCTAGGTTCCTCCTCTTCCTCTTCCTCTTCCTCTTTGTCTTTCTTGTTATTCTCCTCCTCCTCACTTTCATCATCATCATCATCATCATCATCTTGCTCTTCTTCTTTCGTTTGGTCAGTTCCTATCCTTTGATCTTCCTCTTCTGTAGGCTGGGCCTCCTCAGGGCTGGTCTCTTCCTTTGACTCCTTCCCAGGTTCCTTGTGATTGAGGAATGTTGACACAGCCGTGGTCACAGCCTTAGTTTTTGTTATTTTACTCTTCTCTTTCTCGTCCATTTCTTCCTCACTTTCGCTAGCATTTTCATCATTATTGTCTCTTCGCTTTTTGGCGAGTTTTTTAGAGTTCGTTTTCGTATCTTCATCTTCTGACTCGTCGTTGTTGTCTTCGGGTTGGAAAAACCTTCCGTTATCTCCATCTTGTCCTTCTTCCTCTCCTTCGCTGATGTCAAACAAATTCTCAGCCTTCACCGCCACAAAATGCTCTTCTTGAGTCTCAGCTTGTGCCACAGGCTCAGGTGGTTTGGCAGGACGCTTATAACTTATTGGAGGTTTCTCTCTTTGCGAGTCAGTTTTATTGTTGGATTTCTTTTTCACTTCTCTTAAATCAGGCGCAGGAACTCCGTCTTCCTCTCCGCTGGAGAAGCTGTCGCTCTCGCTGGCGCTGCGGAAAAAGTCATCTTCCTGTCTTTCGTCGATTCTTGGTAAAACAGCTACAAGGTGAGACGCTGTACAGGAAAAAAGAGTAACGGAATAAACTGCTGTTTCAAAGAATAGTATATGGAGGTGATACTTAAAACCTTCAAATCCTGGCGTTACATTGGCGGGCGAGCAAAAAAGCGCAAAAAAAACATACGGCTTTATTTGTATAATTCGCGGAGGAATGTGGGATCGTGGAGCGAGTCAAAAAGTAAATTACGGAAAAGGAGGCTTAAGGTGTGTAGGAGGATGGTAGGGTGAGGGAGGGGGGGGGGGTGCTTCCTTGTTCTGCTACAAAACGCCTGCTCTGAAGACTAAGCCAAGACTTTTCGCCACTACATATGTTATGGGATCAAGAAATGTCTATAAAGTTGGGTTGCAGAGGAGGCGCACTCATGAACGACTTCTTTTTACCGCTTTCGGCTGGTACATGAACGATAAAAATATACCTGGAACTGTACCTAGAGATGAAGAGAGGGTAGCCTGGCAAATTTTCACAATCGTGAAATAGTAACCACAAGAGAATCGAGTTAAAGATTCCACATACCTGGTAAAACGTCTGACACTGGAAGATCTCGAACAATCTGCCCGTCATCGTCACGTGATGATAACCATCTAAAAATACAAACAAAACGTGAGAGAATGAAATTAAGAAATAAAAACAAACAAAGAGCTTGGTAATATACATGGATGAACAGATCTGTCTAGGAAGATCTGTGGAGGGACGAACTCATGTAATGATTGGTGTGTGTTCTGGGGCTCCGTCACCTGCTCAGGTTTAATGTATTGTGTTATTAGGTCAAAGACTTGACACTCACAGATCCTCTCCCCACTCCTTAAGTATAAATGGGACCAACAGGGTACAAGCAAATTGTTAGGCCAACAGACCGAAGTTCACCCGGGGACAGTAGCTAGATTGTATGCATGCCCTGCTGATCGCTTCACACAACGATAACTGGAGTTATACGGACTGCCATTGTGACATAACTGGTTGGTGTTTGTAAAGTAACACTTGTTTCTCGTTGCAAACACTAACCGTGTCTTGTCATTACCTGTTACAATTAAACTCGAATGCTCGTGTTGCCTCAGGGCCTTCCTTGACAAACACCTTGTCCAAGAACCAACCATAACCTACAAACATAAACAAAACAATGCAATGCTTAGTACGAGGGATATCGCTTAAGTTTAATTCACAAAGCATAAGAAAATGAGAAACATACCTAGTTTGGTCTCACTGTGACCAATTCTAATACTAGACAATTTTCCAAGAAAAACTGAGTCTATGACAAAGATATCCACCTGAAAACACAAAGAGCACCATAGCACCATGAGTCCATGACATATTAGCCGTGAAAATCACATCAGCAGCACTATTAACAAATATACAAAGACCAATAAGTAGAATTTGAGTGTTACATGTACCATCAGAACAATCATACAAAGTGAAATAACCGACTAGCTACATAACAAGGGTTATTTTGTCTGAAGGTTCATGTAATATTTTTACATAACAAAAATCAAGTCACAGTTGCAATCATGTGATGATCTGTCTATCTACAGTTTTCTTTATTTCCAAAGGTATTTTTCAGTTACGAGGCTGTAAGGATACATCAATATTGTTTGAACAGTGATCTGACCTGTCCTCTCTGGAACTTGGTCCTGTGTGTTCTGGAGCGAAGTAGTTGCCTTTCACCTGAGTTGCCGTATTCTCCGAACACTGTTAACTTCACAACAGCCTTTGTACCGGCACCCAGCTTATCACCAGTTAGGACATATACTTCATATGTGAGAACTGTGAAAAGAGTCAGACAAACAAAGATTGTGTGTAAATAGTAAGAAATCCAAGAAAGGCAGGTAATGTTAATGGTAGTCACTTTGACATACCGCGATAAGATGACACTATAAAGGGATGACAATGTTATTAGATAGCCAGGACTACATTTTTGGTACCAAAGGTGCAAGTGGCAACTGCCTCTAGAGACAAGCAAATGTTTTGAGATACGACACTCTAAAACATCATTTCCAAGGTGCAAGGAGACAGGTAAGGTTAACTCAAACTTAACTCGGGATCATGAGACCATTTCTTTTCAGAAAGTCATGATAGCTGGTGTGTAGACATTTCCTATTTCTTTTGCTTTATGCAGAAGAGTGCAGAAAAAGAGTGCTAAAGTATTTGCAAATTGTTTGCTCTCTGGTTTTTACAAACAGATTCTGGAGAATAAGAATAGTAAAGTGTTTATGTCCAGAACATTATTTTCCTTGGGTATTTTCTTGAAAGTTACCTGTACATTCATATTCCTACCTTTAGGTTCCAGATCTCTGTTTCTAGTCTGTGTTTCTGCAGAAAGAGGCATTGATGTTGGTATGTCTGCAGTGCTGGCTCCTTGTGTTGCTGTTACTGTTGACACACCCACTTCTTTGACTTCTTCCACACTGTTTCCTTTCATAGGTGAGGGCCTGGGTGGTAGGATGATTTGTCGCTCGACCTGCATAACATTTTCGTCATCTTGTTTCATGGTTTGTGTACCTAAAATAAGTTAGCCGGTGTTATGTTTTGTTGAGCTTGGTGGTGTTCGGAAGTGAAAGGGTTAAAAAACTCTTTTTAACAAGGAAACCAGCAAAGTGACGTGGTTAATTCTACAGTAGACACTGATTTGAAGATCAAAAACAAAAGCCTTTAATTTCATAGTTTGGGTGATCACTATATTCAAACAAAAATTTTTCAACCATACCCGAGTGGACAACTGTTTGCGTTGACATGTCAATCATGTCATGTTCAGTTTCCATCCATGATAGCCTTGGGGTTGCGTGAGTTGAGGATAACCTTGGAGATCCTACACTTTCAAATTCTTCATCATCATAACTATCTTCATCAGGGCCAACAGCTTGTGACTTTAGCGGCAGACCAGCACTTTTTGGTCTTGAGTCTTTAGACTTGTGGTGTGACGCCATTACACTGCTACCACGCCCGTCCAAATTCATCCGACCAACCAGGGATCTGCAAAACCACAAATTAAATAATAAAACAATATTGTCAAATGCAGACTCTTTTACAAGGCTAAGAAAAAAAATTGACACTCAATAACTATTTAGAAGTCCAAATTGTAGCATTTTGTAATTTTGGATGTATGGAGATCATCACTAATTGTGGATTAAATAGAACCTAACATAAATACATTGGCCCTAGACTACAAAATGAAGGTATTACTTCTGAATTTGGCAAGTAATGGACTTGACTAATCCTAGTAGAGCAAACTGTTTATAGGGTGTCAATCTTACTTTAGTCGTTCGTCGTCATCGCTCTGTGATCCTCCAGGCAGTACAACATGAACACCACTCCTGGTGTGTTTCTTTCCATCTCTTTCTGGTGGAGATGACTTGAAAAAGGTGGACTCGGGTCTTCTGGAAGGTGCTGATCTTGGTTTGGCCTAAAATAATAATAATAATAGGGCTAAATAGTACCAGATTTTAGCTTAAAATGGTCCCAAAAATATTGCAAGTTCTTGGTCTTAATGTCTTCCATGGCAAGAGGGAGAAAGACCCAGAAACGGGTTGTCATGTGACCCTCAAAAGATCTTCAGAGAAGGGGTCCTTTAAAAGAACTAGTTTATAGGCTTCGTGCTTTGTGCTTTCAATACAGGCTGATTTGCACTGCATTACATAAATGCATGCATGGTATAATTCACCTTCGATTCACCACCCTCATCAACAGTATGAGGAGACTTGTTTTTTAATTAATGTTTGCAAGATGTAAGAAAGTACAAAACTACTACACACCCTTGGAGGAGCAGGACGTCTTGAAACTCTCTGGGAGGCCTCGGAATCTAGAAAGTAGTGGACAAAAATACATGTAAGAGAATCAAACATAAATCATAGAACTGTAACTAACAGAATTTGGGATGTTGCACGTCATTTAGTTCTATACTTAATAATGCGTACCTGATGATAGAGACTCTGCAGCTGAATGGCGTTGTTTTTCTCTTTGAAGTCTTGGAATCTCCTGGAGACATAATTTAGTCACACAGTTAACCAATCTACTTTATGGACAGAGGGTCACAGAGAGAGGGAGAGAATGTGCAGGACAGAGGGAGAGAAGCATAGAGGGGGTATGTGGAAGGGGCATGTTCGTTATCCCTATATTTCTGTGACACCATTTACCAAATGTTGCTGACAATGTGTAGAGATGTATGCGCAGTAAAATACACCATGGCCACTGGTTTTTAATCCTGACTAACCTACCTGTTCAGAAGCCTGGAACCCTTTGCTTTGTTTCTTAGTTGCAGGTAAAGCAACTGTTTCCTAAAACAATGAAGAACATATATAAAACAAATCTTAGTGTGTTTAATTCAAAACTCCAGGTGAAGTATAGGCTGAGGTAATTTCAAGACATACGATATATTGCCTTGATTCTTACCGTAGCAACAATCAGTTTAGTTGCCATGTTAACAAGTCTCTCTCTTTCATCTCGACTAACATGCTGAGGAGGAGAACGTCTCATCATTCTTCTTGGTTTTCCAACCACGTTAGCAGGGATTTTTCTAAAATACACAGGAAATGCACAAAGACTTTAGTTAATGCCAGTTAAAGTAGACTCTCTGGAGAAGAGTAATGTGTGTGAGAGAAAAATCATCACCTTTTAAAAAAAAATCCCCTAGAAAGTACTAATTTGTGATGTTCTTGATGTTCTTGATGTTCTTGATGTTTTTGATTTTCTTTGTATTATTTAAAAAGGATATTATAAATGTGCACAGCCTAAAATTTAATATTTTAATTAATAATCTACAGTTCTAGTTATCTAATGGCTAAACAAAAGAGCTTAAAATTCATTCAGTTGCTGACCAAGATAATAATATTTTCATCCAATGGATACCAACCCAATTGATCCTTATAAATCACAAAGTTAATTCTCAAAAGTCAAAAACAGTCACGAGAACCAGTCTTCAAATAAAGCCTGATATTAATTCAGTTAACAATATTGACTTCTGATTGAGTCTAATTTTTAATACATATGCAGAACTCCTTATTCAAAGACTTTAAATTTGACATGAAGAATAAAATGCCTGTCTTGACTGTTCTCTATATGTTACCTTCTTTTTGCACCCCTCTTTGTTTTCATATACTCCTCAACAGACAACAAAGCCTTTGGCCGATGAGCAGGGGGTCGCGGCTTTACAGTCTGTGGCAAAGCATAAGGGGAGATGGGCCCAGGCTTGAGTCTATAATCCACAGATGCCATATTTTCGTCCACAAAGCCACGCATTGAACTTTCGCGGCTCCCCTGGTCTTTGGCTGTGTGCATGTTTTGTAACTGCCTTTTTATGCTATTATTGTGAAAATAGTGTTTTAAGCTTCTGTCATGTATCCCATCATAGTCTAATGTTGGACCCTAAGTTTTAAAAACAAGAAACATTATAATTAAAAAACAGAAGTTAATAGGTGAACATTCAGTCAGCAATAAAATTAGTCAAAAGCTCATAACAAAAAAATAAAAATTATTTAAAATCAAACAAAAAGTCTAAGCTTAAAGAGCCAAGCATACAGTATATACTTTATAAATGTAATCTATGATATACACCCTAAAAGTTCAACATACAGCACCTATACCTTAACTGTCTTGTAGTTGTTGACTACAGTGTTCATAGTATCATGGATCATGCAATGAACCTTGATCCATTTTGTGAAACATTTACAGAACTTTGCATATCGTAACAAATGAATTTTATTTAACTTGTAACGCACAATTTTCAGACTATTTCAAGGAAAGTGTTTAGCTACACATTTTATGACTGGCAGAAATTCAGGGTAAATGGAAGAGAAATCTATGTTACAGTTATACACACACACACTCATTGTAATCTATTATGTAACTAAAATTAAACATACTAGTCTTGTACAACATAAAGCAAACCCTTCTGAACATGTATGTATTAAACAAAATAAATAACTTACATGTAACAGTACCAGGGTGTTAAAGAATGAAATTTCATGTAGCTCAAAGTGAGGCAGGTTTTTGACTTGGTCCACTTGAGTTTTCTTATATAATAATTAAAAATATTCAACATGGTTTCTTACAGCTCTCAAAGGAATAGGATCTTCTCTGGGATGAAATGGGCCTGATAAATCAAAACCATCTTCTCTTCTTTGTACATCTAAGTAGTACTTCCTAAAAGGAAATACAACAGAAATCTTGAGTAAACTAAACATTAAATTATATCATTTGAAGTGTTTTACTGGCACAAGAGATCACTAGATAGCACATTCAAATAAAACTAAATTCTAAATTGGCAATTACATACACACCTTATGAAGCAATTAAGTACAGTCGTGTTTTTTATGAAGTTTGTACTGTGATTATTTAAAATTCAACCAAGCAATCTCCAGTAATAGATACATAAAACACTTAAACTACTACAGATATGAAAGATATATTTTACCAACATGAAAGATCACTAAATAATGTGTTAAAATAATTGTTATTGCAAACAAGAATATACATTGCTGGGAAATAAATGCTTCTGCAACTAAATTTGTGTCAAAGCTATGTAAAAACTCATTTCAAGTCATACATTTTATCACTGTCATGTTCAGAGTCAGTTTCCTCTGCCAGAAAATAGAGACATGAATTGGGGCAACGATGACGGCTCAAAGTTCTCTTTGGAGTCCTCTTCATATATTATTCCAAAGAAGAAATTCCATGTAAAATCATGATTAAATTCAATGTTCACCACTCAGTGCCAGAAAACAGAATCACCAACTTAAATTAAACAGAAAATTCAAATCACTTGTGTCAGATGCCGAAGTAAGTCCTACTGAAAGCTTGCAAAGGATTTTCACAGAGTGTTATAGTCAGGTAAAGTTGTGAGACCATGGAAACACAGAGTAAGATGTTTTTTTGACATAAATAATTAATTGTCTAGAACCTATTATAAAATGTTGTGCATTGTCAAAGCCTGGTTCCATGGCTTTCACAAAAAACTCTCATTTTCTTGTTCTGACCTAGGACTTCCTTTCTCAAGGGTTGTGATTTGTTATCATTTCTAAATAAAGTAAAGATGTCCTTCTATTGGCTTACAATTACGAACATGAACAATGAATAATTACTTAACGATTACTTTGTGTTAAAATTATTTAATTATTAATATAAAGGGTCCCTTAAAAGAAAACAATCCATCTAAGACAATTAAATATGGAAATACTGCAATTATTGTAAAAGCACATAATTGCTAATTTAAATGATTGTAAGTAAATGACCTATTTTTTCCCATTACTGTAGGGCAATTACAAAAATTTGATATTGACTGTCTGCATGTAAGTCAGACTATCAAAGTGAGTCAGATATAGCTACACACGGTATAGCATGTCAAGGATGAATTTTCCTCACATGACAGCCAAAGGTATCATGATTATACTTAGTAATTTATCATAGTTTACTCCAAAAAGGAATGGCAACAGGCATTTCTGAGGTAATTGGGAATGAGGCAATAGTGAAGGGTAAATTATTATTATTATTACTGTAATTTTATTCTCACCACAATGGGGGTTATTATCTTAGGATTATTATCTTAGGGAGGTAATATTCAAAGAAGCCAGTAGTTTTGAGAGGGGCCAAAGAGAGATCACATTTTCAAACATTTTATTTTACAGTTCAGTTTATGCTGGATTATTCAACTGGTGAGTATTATTAAAGGAAAAATAAAAATTACGTAGACATGTACTATATCTTCAGTAGTTAGAAATCAGAAATAAAAATGGTAAATCAACAGCTCTACATGTAGAGTTAGAAAGTCAAACAAACATAAAAATTGACAATGTACTGTTAACTTCACTGACTAATCTATTGCCACTGTGATCAAGATCTACATGGAATTTCTTGTTAAAATACTGCTGTAATAGGGGATTTAAGTGACCAAAATGGCAACAAGGACAACATTGATTAAAGACATGAATTTATATTTTACCAAATTATGAATCTTATGATACTCTACAGTCAATTAGTTTGTTTCTCTTTGTTAAAAGTCTCGAAATCTCGAAACTGAATATAGAACACCACATTAAATTGGAATGTGAATTTTAAAAATTAGCATTAATTTTCTTACTCACCAGGGCTACTTTCCACCCTAGACTCACACAATGTGGGATGCTTACATGAATGACTATTGAGAATTAATTTTACACTTTTCCCGAGATGTGGGCTTGGGATGCTGTGATCACAGATGCATGTTTCTGTATGCTCAAAGGTAAAAAGTCTTTATTCACCTTTAGCATAAAAGATCAATGGTCATGTGCAAAGCTACATGTAATTGCATAGTGTTTTTCGTTGGTATTCTGGACAGAAAATTATACTAAAAATTGCCCTGGCTGAAATTTTCTTTGAACAGCATGTAACCGAAGTTTAAGGCCTCAATTCCCAGTTGTAGGTGAAAAAGTACATGATGATAATGAGGTAACTGAATTATGCAATATTACTGAAGCCTTGTGCACTCGGGCATAGCTCCCCAATTAGCAAAACTTCAGAGCTGGGCTTTAGGGACTTTGTAGTACAGCATTGTGAGATATTACTTTTTGGGTGGTAATTTACTTTTTACGAGGTCCATAAACCAAAACAAAATACAAGGCGTGGTCATGTATATGCAGTACAAACATTCTGTGATATTACACACAAAACTGATATTGATATTTTTTTGGCCAGAAATTTAAGCTTTAACCTTTACAGAGAGAAGATATATTTTTCTAGTTTATGCACGGAAAGGGAAAGCTAATAGTGAGTGCAAATAATCATAAATCTTGTTTTTCTATACGCTAAAGAGCTTTTATATACTACTGAGTTGGGCAAGGGATAATGAATGTTTGCCGTTTTCCTGTATCCGCACTTGAATTTGGCCTCACTCTTTGTATTGAATTTTCAGGGTTCATCGAGTACCACTTAAACTTTAATTTATTGCAGAGGGTATACAGTAACGCATTTGAAAACTAAAAATTGTTTTTAAATAGCTACAGAGAAGTCTCAAAAGCATTTTACCACGCTCGACTGATGGATAGATTTACGAGAAACGTTACGTTACTGTTTACGATCGTCCACTCTGATCCTTTTGCATTTGTGGACTTGAAATTAAATTGCAAGGTAAGGCCCTTGTGGTTATAATTATAGGCTTACTATAAACAGAAGCGAATTAAGGCTATGCTCTGTGTTGTCTCCAGATATTTTATCCCACCACTTTTAGTGCATGAACATGCATTGTAAGAACCTTTAATCGCAACTCACATACGCGAGAAGCTCATTGTAAACATTCGCAAGTAATCGTTCGTAGTAAGCACTGCACAGAATTGAGCCATCTTACGAGAAAATTTTCACAGTATACTTACAATTTCTTTGCCACAGTTTTTGCTACAGAAGCGGAACTCATTTATATGACTGACTCCTGTGTTTTGCCTTCTCCAGTGTCAGATCCGTTAGAGTAAGATGAGAAAACGCTGGTATGGCAAGTTACACGAGCTTTACCAAGTGCTGAGGAAATTTAGCAAAACTTTCGTTTGGCTTCACGATTTCGTCGCCTTCCAGATAAATGTCTCCTTGTACGAAAGGAGTAAGAGCGGATGTTGTCATTAGAAAGAAACTGAGAAGCTACTACGGACCAACTCAATTGATTGATCTTATTCACTAAAGGCGTTTCTAGGGTGCTAACTATTTATCCGCCAACGGCCCTAGCGACCACAACAAATCAATCGTCCGTCGAGCGTAGGTAAACGCTAATCGATAATTCATCGTGAAGGGAGACGGTGCCATATTTAGAGCACTCGACAGGAAGCTGTCCACTTGGTTTTCCTTTCACCTTTCTGGGCATCGTCTCACTGTGGAATGTAGATTCATGCGAGGAACAGACTGTTTGAAACAGCTGTCGTTTCCAACTCGAGTTATCCGCCATTTCAGAGGACGGAAAATGGTTTACACTTGGGCTGCACTGATCGTCTCTTTCGCCGCGGTTGTTTTGTACTGCCAACTTCCACTCATTGTTTTTCCAGCCCTTTTATTCGTAGCGTTTTTGGCGTCTGGTGGAAAGAATTTTCCTAAAGTGTTCTTTCGAACAATTGTGCGCGATCTGATGTAAGTATTCACCATTACAGACTCAAACACTGTTACTGTAGTACTTTGTAGCGATCTGCCTGACAGTTCAGGTCGACACTGACGCCTGACCTGGGACCAGTGATCAAACGTTTATTTTGCAAACATGCACACATGTTTGTTTAATTGTTATGTAAGCTTACTTACCGACCAAAGACAAACAATAATTGAGCCTGGATGCCATAAAATATCATGATTTGTGAGTCCATCGCTGATCAACAAATTTTTGAAGCCCTTGTCTTTTGCATTGACAAATTACTACTTGACTGTAGTGCAACTCAATCCCTAAATAAGAGTTGTTTTCTTAGAGTCCTTATTGGGTCAACAACAACAGCAGCAACAACAACAACACCTTCGGTTTTACAAAATATTTAACAAATAGATAATTTCCTACTTGCTGTGCATCTGTTCAGTAAATACAATGGATCACAGAAGACATCAAGTTGTGATAAGGACAAAAAATGTGATGTCCAATCCTTATGTCATTTTGACGTCTTCAGTGATGTATTACTGAACAGACATGTGGCAACATGGAATCCACTCATTTTATATAATAAAGAAACCAATAAAATGTTAATGACATCATGCATGTGTTTGTCCTCTAATATGCAGTTTTCCGGAAATATCCATACTCCAACATACCCCAACAGAAGGGATTGGAATTTTCTGAGGGGTAGGGGACTGTATAAGGCCTAAAAAATTAAAGAAATGCATGAAGTGTATTTGGAATTTCCAGAGGGGTGGGGAGTCTTAGAAAAAAATTTCCTCTGTGGGAGAGGGATAGATATTTTTTGGAACTACACAATAGATCATAAGTAAGAACCAATCAAAATGTGAGAATAATAATTGTAATGGCATATTATAATTTATAATATAAAATAAAAATACAAGACTATAGCAGGTAAAATTCTACCCAAAATAACTAAAGAAGCTAATCTAGTTGTATGGTTGATCATCTTTGCAGAGGTTTCCGTCGTTTTATCCAAGTCATTCTGACCACTCATCTGCATGTTAGGAACAATCGAACTGTGGCAGACATATTTCATCAAACTGCATCTAAGCATCCCCAAAAAGCTGCCTTTGTGTTTGAACAGAAAACATGGACATTTCAAGAAGTAGAAGAATACTCCAACAGGATTGCACATTATTTCAAGTCACAAGGATACAAGAAAGGAGAAGTAGTGGCTCTCTTCCTAGAATCTTGTCCTGAGTTTGTTTGCATATGGCTTGGATTATCCAAACTTGGTGTCATTACAGCCCTAATCAACACTAATCTGCGACTTGATTCACTTTTTCATTGTATATCTGTGGCTTCTGTAAAAGCAATCATATTTGGGTCAGATCTTTCAGGTAATAATGAAAAAGCCTTGATTTCATTTTCAAACTAAACCTTAGCCTATTCCAGGCTCTTAGTCAGTGGGGACGATTGCCGGAAAACACAGGCAGATGACGAGTGGGATCAGTGACCTCTCCTTTTTCACTACCAGACCCCACTCGTCATCTGCCCTGGAACAGGCTAACTAAACCTCTATAAAATAGAAGAGCCTGTGGGTACTTCACAAGAAAATAGATAATTTTGTATGAAATGTTTATTTTGGGGTTTGTACTATAAGCTAATGACATTCTGAGTCTATCATTTCTATTATTAAGCCAATAGACTTTTGGAATTTAAGGTGTGAGGGATCACAGAAGTGGTACATGTATTTGATATAACCTTTAAGTATTTTTCTCCCTAAATTCCTTAAATCTTTCATGCACATTGAAAGAAGAGTGAATCATTTTTGTGAATGTGGGTCATATCTCTCTCTGGGTGGGAAACTCAACATTTTCTCTTGTTGTTTTATTCCATATCAAAATCTGACAAACTGCAATCACACCTTGCAGTTAGTGTTCTATTAATGTACTGATTTTTATTCAGGGAATGGATTTGTTATTAGTATTATTGTTTATCTCTGGCAGGTGCTGTAAAAGAAATCCAGATCAGAGTTCCAGAAATAGTACAGCTATACTGTCTAGGCAATACTTCAAATGTTGTGCATTCTGCTGTTAATTTGGACAAGAAGCTAGAGGAGAGTTCATCTGGATTGCCTGAAACCAATCATTCTAAATCTATGGCTGGTAATAAACAATACTGTCTGCTTCCCAGAATAATTAATTTTGCAGTTTTGGTCAAGACACTTCACTCTTTCAGTATTATTCTTCACTGGGGTAATCTGGTAAAATTTCAAGTTGTATCTTGTAAAGTTGTTTGCTGCTTCCTCCTACAGATATCAGATTTACATGGAGGCACTGTTTGAGGCACAAGGTTCCTTCAATTTCAGCGACTGAAGCAGACCTTTTAACAGCTAACAATTTCTCCAACTATTGTGTATTACACGTGTTCACTTTTTTGGCGTGTTTTCTATTTCAGATGTATTACTGTACATTTACACATCAGGGACTACTGGATTGCCCAAAGCTGCTGTAATATCAAATGCCAGGTATAGTGCAGATGTAATATAAGGATATAAAACATAGACTATTGCCTCTCTCATGATTTCAGTCTCAAGTTCAAGTTAATAGGGTTGAAGTTGATAAGGATAGTTGATGAAGCTGATAGTTGATAAAGCTGAAGGTTGAATCAGCTATCACCCCATTGTAATTGAGAGCGAATAATCTAATTATTGTTTTAGTAGAATTTTGACTGAAATTTCCTTCAAAATAGCAATTTCCAATTATTTTTCTGCATAGCATTAAACTTCACGCAGACTGGATGGTCTTTTGAAATTTGCAGTTGTTCAGTTTTTGGACAATTTTTTTAAAGTCAAAACGAAACATTGAATGTCTTTCTTGTAGTCTTCCCAGGAGTTGAATTAAATCCATTTGTTTCAAGCTGTTCCTCTGGAACTTAGGAAAAACAAGAAAACATTGCCATTTTATAGAAGACCTAGTCAGTGCACACTAATGGCTGATAGTGTACAATACACTGTAGCTTGGTCAGATTGCAGTGCAGTTTTTGCAGTTTTTTAACATATGACTAGAATTCTACTAATTAACAATTAGACGTGGAGCCTGAGTTTTCCATAAGTGAATACCAGGCGCATATCAGGCACATACATGTACCTGATCACAGGTTTGTATAAAATTTTGCCCTGTTAGCCTTGGTGTGAGGTAAAACTTTAAAGACTGTCAGTGTTAAAAGCAACTTCTCCCCTCCCCCAACCCCAACCCATAAAATACCCAAATTTCAGATGCAAAATCCCCTGATAATACTCCCTTCCAAATTAAGATTACATCACTTATTAGCTCAATCTTCATCATCAGATTTTTACAGCATTTTAGCCACATGTGTTTCAAAGACAGTAATTCTTCACTAATGATTGTTGAGCAAGTGTTGAATTTTTGAGAACAAGAGATGGAACCTCTAGCTTTCTGTAACAAGTAGTCACCATTCAGGGTTCTTAATTCAGAATGTGTGATCTTTCAGGTACTTTAAGATGTCTTATGGGGTACACTGTGCACTAAACATCCGCCATGATGACATAGTTTACTCTTCATTGCCACTCTATCACTCTGCTGCTGGAATTGTTGGCGTTGGGCAGTGCTTCATTGGTGGCTGTACATTAGCGCTGAGAAGTAAGTTCTCTGCCAGTACATTTTGGGATGACTGCGTGAAGACAAAGGCCACGGTGAGTACATTTTGAACTCTCAAGTCTTTGAACCTTAAGTTGGTGATTCACACCAGAGGAGAAGAACGAGAAGTACATGTAAAGCTGGACATCAGTAATAATGCTGCAGATCACAAATTCCACAGATTTTTACCAGAGCCAAACAAATGAAGTTTTAATCTGAGAAATAGTCAGATATCACATTCCTATTTGCACTGAAAATGAACAGACTTAAGAATAACTTTTTGTATCGTAATTATATAACAATAATTGCAGTTATTATTTGGTGTTTTTCATTGATGACATTTTAGCCTAGTCTTAGTATTAGAATTCATTTATATAGTTTTATTTAATTAAGCTCTAAAGCTGTGATTTTAAAGCTTCATTAAACTATCTATCTGTCTGTCTGTCTGCCTGCCTGCCTCTCTGTCTGTCTGTCTGTCTGTCTGTCTGTCTATCTAAGCCAAGTTATCCAAGTAGACTGTAGCAGCCAATACTTAAAAACGTCTTGATATATTTTTGTCAGGTGGTTCAGTACATTGGTGAGATATGCCGATATCTTTTGGCACAGCCTCATCGTCCCTCAGAAACTCAGCACTCGGTACGCCTGGCCACAGGCAATGGACTCCGCCCTCAGATATGGGAGGAGTTCCAGACACGCTTTGGCATCAAGGAGATTGGAGAATTTTATGGTTCAACAGAGGGAACAGCCTCTATAATCAACATAGACAGTACCCGTGGTGCTTGTGGCTTTGTGTCTGAGATTTTTCCCGCTGCCTACCCCGTGGTTATTTTCAAAGTTGATCCTGAAACTGGTGAGCTAGTGCGAGGATCAGATGGGCTAGCAAAGAGAACCAAGCCTGGGGAAGTTGGGCAGATTGTTGGAAAAAGTCTGAAAGGTATTTGTATCCTGACTTGTTTCGGTTGCCTGTTTTACTAATATCATTGTTGCACTGTGCAATCCAATAAAATGAGAAAACTCGGATTTGTACTTCAAATACCAGTATGTTATTAAGCAGACAGATAATAAGAAGAAAGAAACCCATCAACTAGGCTATTGTCAATCCTCCTTCCCAGTTGATGTCTGAGTCATCATACAACCCTTCTTGTCACACAAGCTGCTTTTTGGCCCAGGGGGGACTCCCATATAAAATGGACGGGGGTGCTCGTGATCGTTTTTGGGGGTTAAAAACACAGTTTTGATACATGTGAGGGTAAAGGTAAAAGGTAAAGTCTGCATGCGAGCCAAGTGGCCCATCAGGCCGGAGCTTATCCCGGTTTCTGTAGCATGAAGCGACTAGGAGTATTTCTACTCCCCCCTGGATGGGATGCTAGTCCATCGCAGGGTTACCCCCAGCATTAAGTTCGCCGGTACCCATTTATACACCTGGGTGGAGAGGGTGTTCGGCCTTAAAAGGTCCACAGTGGGAGCTTTCGCGGTACCTCTTAGGGTATTGAGCCGAAACAAAATATGACAGGAGATAATGTGTTGTTTCACAATTGGTACCTCTTAGGGGTGAACAATATTTCAAGCCATGCCCATTTAAAACAGGATCTTAGTACCCTCTGGGGCTGCCAAGGAGAGTAGATATTGCTAAGCTGTACCAACAATTTCTCAAACAATGTAATAAAAAAATGTGTGGTAATCAGTGAAAAGAACTTAGATTTTGATCTTGGAACTGATAGCTCTTTACTGCACGCCACAGGTGATCCTTCCCAGCGTTTTGACGGATACCTGAACCCACTGGAAACCAAGAAGAAAATTGCCCACGACGTTTTTAAGAAAGGTGACTCGGCATTCCTCTCTGGAGACTTGGTTGTCAAAGATGAGTATGGCTACATTTATTTTCACGATCGTACCGGCGACACGTTCCGATGGCGAGGCGAAAACGTGTCGACGGCCGAAGTGGAGTCGGTCATGAGCAAAGTGTTAGGCCTTCGCGATGTGGTTGTTTATGGCGTGATGGTTCCGGGCACTGAAGGACGTGCTGGCATGGCGGCCATTGTTGATCCGGATTACAAAGTGGACCTGGTGACGTTAGCTGGTAGTTTGAAGAAGCTCTTGCCGAGTTATGCTTGTCCCATGTTTCTGAGGATCGTACACAGAGTCGACTTGACGGGTACATTCAAACTTCAAAAGAGCAAGCTAAGAAACGAAGGTTTTGATATAGGCGTCATAGAGGATCAACTGTTTTACTTTGATGGTAAAGAGAAAATGTACTTGGTCCTTGATGAGAGCAAGTATGAGCAAATCATCCGTGGAGAAATCAGAATGTAGTTATAAATATATTTTAGTATGTAGTGAAAGGTTTTGCACCGATCGTGCGTACAATTAACAAAATTGGTTACAGTTCTTATCGAGTTCCAACCAGTATCTCTGATAACCATGCAATCAAAACTCGAATTAAGCCAAAAATGTACGAAAATCGTGACTGCAAAAAATAGGCGTGTGGCCACTTTTTGTTTCAAGTGTTCTAATAGGCCTTCTTTACCATTGTCACGCGTTTCGATCTTTTCATTCAAACAAAAAATAAACCTAGAAGCTCAATTATCATGCTATATTTAGAAAAGTTTCATAAGAATCCATCGCAAACTCATAAAAGTATAGGACCCCGGACTTTCCTATTGTGACAAAGAAAAGTGTGTCAAGTGGGGCACGGGGGTGTTCCCCCCCCCTCCCTCAAGTCGGCAAGTTGGCTTCCCATATTTCACGACTTTGCAGTGGATTCTTATGAAACGACGCATATTAACTTAATTCGGCATGATAAATTAACATATGTAGGTGTTTTTGTTTATATGAAAAATACGGAAAATTGTCGATATTGCGTGACATAAGTAATCTATATATTATCGCTTTTTCTGGAGCAATCCTTTACATTAGATTCTCTTTTCTTACTATTGTTTTAATTGTATCGGAAAAAGACGTAATAAGTTAAGGAAAAAATCAAATACGACATGTACGATTAGTGTATCTTTTTCTAGGATGGCTCTCATTGAGTTTCCGCTGACAATCAAGATATACAGACCCTTGAAAATTGAATCCCTCCGCAGATTTTAGTTTTATGCATCAGAGACCAGAAGACCATCACTTGTCAGAAACCACATTTGTCACTGAAAAACTTAAATCTAATTTGCTGAAACGCTATTAAAATGGTTTTAACTTTTTGGAGTGTTTTTTTTTTCTCATAATTGTACTAATTGGGCCGTTGTTTTGCAGAAATTAATAACGTCGATTTGATCATAAATATATACATACGATAACTGTAAATTTCAAAAATATAAATACCGACAGCAACAACGCAAGACGAGTGAGGACTTAAAGCCTGGGTCAAACGGCGCATGATAGTCGATGATAGTCGATGATAGTTGATGATAGTCGGTGAAAATTCGGGGAGAACCATTCGACTATCATTTTTTTTTATCAGCTTTTTAAGCCTGGCCAAACGGTGCATGATAGTCGATGATAGCTGAATGATTCTCCCCGAATTTTCACCAACTATCATCAACTATCATCGACTATCATGCGCCGTTTGACCAAGTCTTAATCTTACAAGGCGAATGCGTGCATAGAAATCGTTTCCATTTTAAGCGCGCGAGAGGTGCACGATAAGCTTTTGGAGGCCACGCAAAGGCTAAGGATTTTAAAGTGACAAAACAGAAATGGAAGTTTTTCATCCTTTCCTTGCCCCTCCCCCCTTTTTATTAATTAATTATTTATTTATTTTCGAGGGGGCTGTTTCACACCCTATGCCTTTGCGCGTCTCTCAAGCTTTTAGTTCACCTATCGCGCCTTGAGAAGGAAAGTACTGCTACGATGGCTTCCAATGCGACGCCCAGATGAACTTCACTTATGAACAGAGATATTTCGCGATTTTAATTTGAAGTAAATTGTTCAAAATTGATAATGACTTATTTTCAACTTCTCTTTTTTCGGCGAAGAGAGTAGCCATACTTTTTACAACAAGTTGAGTTTTTTTCCCTGTAAGCCTGCTTGTTTACAATAAACATTCCCACGGTAGACTCAGGTGGGACCCCAACGCAAACTTGTTCTCGGGTCCCCTTTTTCGTGGTAATTGCGCGAGAAAGAGATCTGGGACAGGACGGACATCACATCAAACGAGGCTGGGTCAGCGGTATTCTTGTGAAACCAAAACTGAAAGAAAGATGGCGGAGTTCTATCGTTGTGCAGTAGGTCCCCAGTTGCACCGAATTTTCACGAGAAATAGTCGACAGGTAGGTGTCGGAATCGTACATTTTGCGAAAATGGGTTATTCTTTTAACAGTAGTTCAAGTATTTGGGCGTGGAGCGATGAATATAAAGCAACCACCTGGCTTCCACAATTGATTTTCATAGTTCCGTTTTCACTGTTCGAATCGTGCTCTTTATTGCAAGTGAGTTTACTTTAATAAGTCATATGCTGTATTTTAGAGTAGGGCATACGAAGCAAATGGACTGGAGCAATGTGGTGCAGGAGTTTTACGTGCGGTAAGATTTTAAGCTTAAATATGGCTTCATATTGTATACAAAGTTATATTCCTTGACCCATTCTACCTGCTTACATGTATATACCGATTAAGATGATTTGCATCCCAGGGCTCAAAATAATTTTCGGACCAAAGAAATTTTAGCTCGGTCACGTCTCGTTTCTCACCGGTCAAGATATTTTTTTTTGAAAAAAGTAATGTTGGCCTAATTAAACCCACAAATATAATTTATTTGTTACAGTCGTTGCTAGACCGTTGAAAATCTTAAAGGAAAGCTTAAAACTTAACCAAAGACAGCCTTGGCAGGGCTCAGCAGCTTAATGAAGTGGCACGCTCTAAGTGGAATTCTTGCCACCTGCCAAAGGAAAAGTATTGAACAGATGCATATTAATTTGATGAAACTTCGAATTTTTTGATTGGTATATTGAATTCCATGAGCTGTTGTTTTGATGCGCTACAAAGTATTTATGTCCATCAAAACGTAAATGTAACCAATCATGCATCAGCTGATCCTAATTTTGGGTATCAGAAATAACTGGGTAAACAAATATAGCCGAAGAAGAAGAAGTTTCCATTTCCTCGATTCTCACCCGTGCAAACGTACAACAAATCATCTAAGTTCTAAAGTGTAAGCCACGAAAAATCTAGACTTTGTTGTAGTCATATTAGAGAGAGTTTTTGTTCACGAAGAACTAATGAACATTATGATTTTACCACTGATAGATTTTGGTCACGTGTCTCAAATTTCATTCGTGAACAAAATAACTTTACAGATAGAGATACTGATAAGGCCTTCGGCTTTTTTGTTGGAACATTATTTTCGTCCATTTTGTAACAGTAAGGTTCTAAATTAGATACTGCGTTTGTGCTCAATGTTACATGTTACATTTACAGCTTGATGGAAAAAAAGCAGACTGCAAAATGTTTGTTTTGATGTCCTGGAGTCCCATAGTGTCTTAGTTGGAAACAACTTGACAATCGAGCTAAAAATTTTGATGTCTTGTTCGTCGATGTTTGTGCAGTGAAAGTGAAAGAAATGACAAATATCTTGACATCTGTAGAGCAATACCTTTGAAATATGCGCCAACAAAGAGAGGTGGGCAAACCTAAAGCATCACAAAAAGCTGAATCTGATTGGATTCTTTGAGGTACTGAAAACCTCTGATCTTTGAAAGGCTGAATAGTTTTGAATTCTGAATTGAAAACCACTGCCGTCCTAAAAGATGAAATTTCTTCCAGATGATAGTAGCAGTTGTTCGAACAGCTGAATATTTTTTAGGACGGATAACCCCAGCTGTTCAAATGGCATTCCTATCGATCTTGAATGCATGACAAATGGCAAGCAATCGCTTTTTAGCCGTTCCAACAAATACCTGTTGGTGTATGTTTTCATGTGAGAGGCCATAATAAAAAAGAGAATAAAAATCTAAAATTTACAGTTGAGGATTTGATTGTTTATTCAAGAATGAACAACGTGACCGTCTCAACATGACGTGACCGGTCAACATGACTGGTGAGTGAAGATTTTGGTTGGTCAAGTCACCATTCTGGCCGGACATTTTCCATTGACCGGCCGTTATTTTGAGCCCTGCATCCTGTTGTATCTTATTCCTTGCATTGTTCAGGCTTCTTCAAAACACTTTGACTCTGCTAATACACACATCCTCTGAAGTTCCTTTAAAATGATAATAATAATAATAATAAAATTCAAAAGAAGCCAAGTGACTCACCAGGATGTTTATACCAATGTATAAAACAAGAAACTTGATGATTTTAGAGAAACACCCACTGTGGTGTGTGGTGGTCTTGTATTGTTTTAATCAAATGTACCAGTCCATTTGAAAGTTTAATATCCCCCTTCCAAGGACAGACCCATACTATTAGAATATACAAGTAATTTAATTTTCAGATGTAAATTAAACCTTTTATTTAAGTCCAACTTAAGTTCTTGTATCAATTTTAACAGTATCAGTGGTACATGTATCACGTTTTGATATTTATGCAAAAAAAAAAGACAGAAATAATGCCCCATTCTTAATAATTGGCTCCTTTACAATAAATGCCTTCTTTAGGGCCACCAGCAGACTGATCAATTGAATCATTTACTAGACAAGCCATGCATGTTATAAATTTTTAATGACTTTGAAAGTTAAAGGGAAGGGAGGGTTTATGTTTGAAAACTAGAGCGGTTTTCAATTGAGTGTCTATACTGATCAGGCAATTATTTTGTTTTTGGTTTTGGTTTTACTATCTTGGTTTTAGATTAGCCAAGTAGTCTAATTGGTAAGTAATTGGTTTGGTTTTCCTGGTTTTACGACACTCAATTGAAAACCACTCTGTTATTAAAACCAGTTTTTAAAAACTTTCTTTCTAGTTGTCACTGGCTTGGTCTGTTTGTTATTCAACTTCATTTGTAACTGCACCAGCATTAGGATTTTACCTTTTGAGAAAAGGTCTGTATCACCTCACCCTGGATAGGGTATTTTGTATACTATTAATAATTATTTATACTATAATACTTGTCTTACTATAATATTTGTTATTTCAGGACATATGTAAGAGAGAGGAGTGGATTGGGTGGTGAGCCAACCCAAAAATCTGTCAAAAAAAAATGAACGCATAATTATAATAATTATAATAATAATAATAGTGATAATGATAATGATAATGATTATAACAATAATAATAATTTTGCAAGTATACTCTGCAGGTCTGAATAATTTTATTGTTATAGCTGTTGCTATAAAATTTATAGTAAATTGTGATTATTATATATTGTGGTGTCATTAGTAAGCTACTCTTGACTAACAGTTTTCAATATTTTAAGCACTTTTTACAAGTATGTTGTTATCATACTAATCTAAGTCCTTCTCCTTTGTAAATCTGGGATCTACCATTGCATGTTCACAAATAGGTATGTCTTAGACACATCACATTGCAATGCTGTAAATAGACTAAAAATTGATAATCCTGGGGTTCTGTAAACTTTAATTCTAACTAGACCAAGTACATTTTAAATTGTATGTGAAGTTAGAGACAACCTCTTAGATTTTGTGGTTACTGGACGAAAAATCTGCTCTGAGACAAAACTTGAAATAGATTCAACACTGACAGTGCTTTTGATCATGTACTGTTTAATCAAAAGAATCAGTTTTGAAAAACATTATTTAACATATAATAACCGATGACTGTGTCTTCACCAGGTCTGTTCAGCCATGCTGGTTTGGTAAGCCTGTCTAGGTTTATTGGTACAGGGCTTTTGGTTGTGTTTGGAGCATTATGTATCAGAGGTAATTTGTGACCATAGGTAACAAAAAATGTAAATTAAAAAATTGGTGTAGTTTTGTTCATTTGCTGTAGGATAGATAATCAAATTATAAAATTGATATTTTTATTTGATATGTAAAAAGTAGTAATGAATTGTGGTATCATCTCACTTTCTATTAAAATCTGAAAACTTTTCAGGATTTCAGTTTCAAAAAACAAGAAAGTCCTTTACACTTGAATAAGGCAGTGTTATTATGTATTTTAATTTAGTGAGCCAATGAAACCAGTTCAAAATTATATTTCACAGGTTGATATCTATAATTTACTAAAACTGTACTTTTGTGTTTATTGACATTTTTTTTATTTGCAGGATATGGACGTTTTAAAAATCCAGATTACAGAATATTCTTAGCTCTTTTAGAAGAAACAAGATTAAATAACAATGAGGAAAATAAGGTGTTTTATATAAATACATGATTGACCTGCAGAGGAATCAGTGACCAGTGAATTTATTCAAATTTTATCGGTGTTGTCATTTAATAACTTCATACATGGAATTTTGCAGAGAAGACTTGGGTTATATGACTTCAGTTTTTACGCTTGGCCTGTTGATTACCATTGGGACGAATCTAAAGCTGAGTATGTATTACTTTAAAACTTACATGTATGTTAGCTACAACCCTGAACAGAACTGGTTGCGAGAAATTTAAAAAAAAAATACATTGTCATATGTACAGTTATTTATAAATTTTACATAATACATTTCTCTGTTATGCTGACTAAAATTCAAAACATTATTGAATGATTCATGCTGATTATCCCCCTTGCAGTGTTGTTTTGGATAACACAAGAATTGTGTATGCGTTGGTTTTCAGATCATAACAACCTTGAATGGGAATAGGGGAAGCTTGTTGTCTTATGTGCAATTAAAACATCGACAAACTATTTATTATTTGTTTAGGGCTTAGAGTTAAGTTTAGTGCTTATGAAGTTGAAGCTGCGCAAATTTTGAGCCCCAATGTGCATGGGATGTAAACAGCAACTTTTAGGATAAAACAGGGCTCATTAGGTAGTGGCATGTATGTGCAATCGAGGTTCATACGAACAATTCAACATATTTTTATAGCAAAAGTTTTGATGGAATATCCAGAGTGCAAGTATAAATTAGGTTCACAATTTATTTATAGTTGTTAGTTACTAGTAAATTTGTAGGATAACAAATTTCCTGATCCACACCATCACATTCTGTTATCCTCAAACAACATCCAGTAATACTTCAGGATTATAAATTAACACTTGTTATTGCATAGTTGGATTGCACTCTGATAGCATCATTAAATTACATGACTTATAAAGTACTTCTTTGTCATTCCCATTTGTAGCTGCAGCATGCGCAGGGGATCAGAAAATGTCACTTCTCGTAGCAGACCTTCTCCAGGATTTTTGTCCTTCCTTGGATCTTGGCCTTGTGACTTTCTAAGGTGATTTACACCTTCCACTTTTTATTCTAATACACTGTGCAGTATTTTCATATTTTAAGTTTGATTTTAGATTTAGATTTTTCTCTTTTAATAGAATTTGTTTGTTATTTGTTGTCAATGATAATCTTAGTTTTACAACAGAGCAAAAAGAAAATTTAATTCAAAACTTTTTTTAATTTAAAATTTTAATTTAAAAACTGCTTTCAATTGTTAATTTCAAACTCTGAACCACAAAACTGGTAACTATGGTGTATGTTCAAGTGTGATGTTATTGCCCTCTTTGATTTTTCCTGATTGGAAGTTTCACTGAGTCATAAAAATGCAAAGTGAATAGCGTTAGTTTAATTTAATGTCCAATACAACCCTAGAATTTTGCGTAAAATGGGAATTGTCTTTGAATGTGAATCCTGAATCTGTAGATGAATATTTAACTAGTTACATGTAATAACATTTTGTTGCTGTAAACAACATATTAGAATTGAAATCAGGATCAACCTTTGATATCAATTTGCATATGGTTTCCATGGCATCACTTTGTTTCTTTGATGTTGTGTGTTTTGTTATTTTCAGGTATTTTGTTGCACACTCAGTTGGCCGGCCTTTGGTCTACCCTGGTTCCACTGGCCTTCTACAGAGTGGATTTGGTAATTATAGCTACTAACACTTATTTCATCCAGGCTTGTGAATGCTGTGTAACTCAGCTGGTACGTGACTGTATGTTTTACACTCTCACTTCAACTCACAGTTAATTTTTCCCTCTTTGTCTTGTGCAGGAGAAGCTCTGATGTCTGGAAGGCAGTTCTTGCTTGAACGTGTAAGTTAGACCCATTGTATGTTGAATGCAGCATGTAATGTACCGGGCAAAGAGAGTTGTCAGTAACTTTTGTGCTGTTTAGTTTAGGTGAGACTTCACACCAAGCTTTAAAGGAGCTCAGTCACAGTGTTTGTCTTTTGTTTTGGCCATGTACAAAATCTCCTCTTAATGGAAGGAAACCTGAAAATAATAGTTTACAAAGATAGCAAAACATCAAAGAGATAATAATAAACCATAAAGGAACAGGGATGGTCAAGGATGGCGAAGATTCACATGGATTCCAAATGACGAATTTGAAAAATTTAGACCAAACTTTTCAAAATGTGCAAACTGTGACTGAGCTCCTTTAAACAGTCTGTCAATTTTTCTTAGAATATGTTCTGTTTATGAAAGCCCTCCACAAGAAATGATTGGTCTCTGTGCAAGATTGGGTGCTTTGATGTGACTAAGACAGGGATAGTGACCAGTATAATACTGCAGAGCACATAATTAATACCACAGTACTAGCATTTGGTTTCCTTTTTCAAAATATACCAATGCACCTGAACAGAGAATTAAGTATTTAAGATGACAGCTGGGAAAAAAATTGCTTAAAGTAATTATGTACATATAAAGTCAACATAGCTTGAATATTTCAAAATGAGGTTAGAGGTAATTAAGTTAAGGGTAACTACAAATGGGATGATGTGGGAAATATAATCATGAAATGATCTACTATGTCTACTTGGTTTAAACAATTTATCTATAAATGAATTCATTCTTGATCAGAACGGTCAGAGAGCAAAACTGAAGGCAGCTGACAGCAACGAGATAGACACCATGTTCATGGATAAGAGATCACCTGAAGATGAGGAGAGCAAGGGGAACACTCTGGTAGGATAATGACGCATGCAGGGCTATCAATGGGCTATAACCTGTATCACCTGTTACAGCTGAGCAAGGTGGATGGCCCCTTGTTGTTACAGGTCAACTTGGCTGTAGTTGATAGAATTCACCCATAAAGTAACAAATTTAAGGCTAGAGGTGAATCAGAACTTAATGACAGTCCTGGCATCTGCATGTTATGAGTTCAGTGTGCTGTTGTAACTTTATCATCATAAATGGAGTTAAGGCTGAGGATCCAAGGAAAAAATGAAACACTCTACATGGGGAATTGTACTGAGAAGATAGACCAATTGTGATATTCAATATACTTGGCTTCTAATTAGTGGAATAAGACAAAATAAATGGCATCTAGTTTGTGGAATGAATAATATGGTGAAATATATTTTTCTCGCAGGCCTTGGAGTCAAGTTACAATTTTAATATATATATTGAAATTGGCCTGTTAGTAACAATCCAGTCTTACAAATGAGAGGGTCCAGGTAGCAGCTCTGTTTTGCTGTATTCGGGTTTGGTAGTATCAGTCGTAGTAATGCTACTCCCCTTTCTTCAGAGAGGTAATTTGTGTAACAAAAGAACAAATCACAGGCTGGGTAATATTCAAGAATGTACGTACACTGCACATTGGCTGGCATCATAGGGCGCTGGCACGTAATACATGCAGAAAGGTTACACTGTATGTAGTTGTCCTTTGACAATACACTATACACTGTGTAGGCCTTTGATGTTAGCCAATATTTTTTTACCTTAAGTTTCATATGACATCATCAACTTGGCGTTAAATCAACAGGTCATAACATGTGAGGGTAATGCTGGCTTTTATGAGGTTGGGCTGATGACTACGCCATTAAAAGGTTGGTTTAATTTATTTCATAACTTGGTTCTGTTTGACTTCACGGGCAAGTCTTTGTATCTTATCGTTTGTTTATCTTTGGCATTGATTGTAAAGTGCTGAGTTTTGTATTGTAATATGTTTCATTAGGAAGGAAGTAACAAGTAATCTTATTATATGGCTTGTGTTTGTAGCAGATATAATGCATGCTCTGATTGGCTAATTCTAGGGCATTATTTTCCTATAATGCCCATAGGCCAATTACAGACCCACGAAACCAAAGCAAAAACCCATATTATAATAAACAAATTATTAACCTGGAATGTTCGGTCTTTAATGGTAAATCCGAACCTTGGCATGATCAATATGGCAAGGTCTTGGTTTGAGATTTTCCTGTAAAGACCTCACTCAGGGTTATAAGTGGTTAATAACAGCACTGGCTGGCAATGTTCTTGTCACAGCCACCGATGGTTAGTAATGCTTAATAATACCTTTCCTGTTTATTTGTATGTAGCTGGATATTCAGTGTTGGGATGGAATCATCCTGGTTTTGCTGGCAGCAGTGTAAGTTAAAAACATATTTCTAAAGCTGAGCAAGTGGAATTTTATTTAATTTTACAAAGGGAACTGAAGTACCATTTCTATGACAATGTGTGTGTTTTCACTGGAATTTTGCAGGGTTTTCCTGGCCCAGAATCTGAGAGGAATGCTATAGATGTTGTCATTCAATATGCTGTTGAAAAACTTGGGTTTCCAGTTTCTAAAATAGTTATATATGCTTGGTCAATTGGTAAGTATTCAAATAGTCATTATAAGTATTTGTTCCTAAGTAGTGTACATGTATGTAGATTCTCTCAATAAATTGTTTTAAAAATAGAATCCTCCTTAGGAAATAAGATAGCAACTGGTAGACTTACCCATACTTTGTAGTGCACGATTTTGTTATAAATAATATTACATCTATTACAACTATTATCATTGATATTCTCTTCGATTGCTTTTAAAGGAGGTTATCCTGCTGTTTGGGCATCCAGAGTCCACCCACAAATTGGTGGCATGGTTAGTACATTGTCTGTCATCATGATCCATCTTCATTTTGCATTTGGATGCATTAGTCCTTGTCCTTGCTATTACTAATAAGGAACAAGTGCCAGCAAATCACCAATATTTTCTCACTGTCTGTAGGTATTGGATGCTACATTTGATGACATAGTGCCTCTTGCCCAAACCAAGATGCCTGAAGCCATAAGTAGGTCATTTTGATAAATGGTGATGATTTTCTTGGGGACAATGATTTTTGCATTTTGTACTTTACTCTATTTGAAACCATAGCTAACTGAGTATTTGAAATGATACCAAATTGAGAAGAATTTAGGATCTTTATACCTAATTGTACCTTTTTGGTACACCTCGGCAGCATATCAGGCCAATTTGGTTGAGCCACAGTTTGTATTTTGGCTAGACATAGTCAAGCCAAAATAGCCATGTCAAGACCAACCAAGACGGATATGCCACCAAAACATACCAAACAGGAGAGATTAGGTACTGTATTTACTGTGACCCAAATTCAGCCAGGTGACCATGATATCATAGTCATATCAGGTCAGTGACTTGATATCACAGGATATCAGGATGGTAGGCACAGCTTCTGATTGGCTCATGTGTTATTTTAAAGGTGCAATAAACCAATCAGGGTTTAGTTTACATGATTTTCTCTGCATTGCTTGTTTGTCTATGTTTGGTATATTATTCAATTGACAGCATGCCATTCACAGCTCTTGATTATCTGTGGGGTTTGGTCGCAATTTCATCTTATTTGTTTTACAGGTGGTTTTACAACAAGGGTTGTAAAGGAATACTTTCATCTAGACATTGCTCGTCTGCTCTGCAGGTATATAATTATTAATTATCTTTCATTAATTGAATTCTCTGTGTTGCTGCGTGTGTGAAAGATTGTCTTGTTAAGTTATAATGTCAACGCAAGTTTGGCCTACTTGGTTTCTCCTTGTTGTGTCTGGAAGGTAAAGTAGTACATAGGCACTCAACTTGTTTCAGTGACATCAAGTAACTAATAACACTTTTGTACTCCATCAAAGGGTTAACCCCTGTTGTTAAATTTACCAACAACCATTTATATTATTTTTATGTTATTATAATTAATAAAAGTGTCTTGTCCAAGGACACAACACTATGAACCTGGCCAGTGCTCAAACCCAAACCTCTTGATCTAAAGTTCAGTGTTGACCTTGAGGACATCCCACCTTCCACCTCCTTTCCTAAGCCTGTGTATTATGCAGTAAAAACCCACGTATAAGACCATAGATGAAAAAAGTTAGCCTATAAGCAGGTTCTATATGTAAATATATGGCAGGTTCTTTTGTAAAAGGGATTTAAAAGGAGAAATTATCTTAGCCTAACAGGTTCTTAAAATCCAGGTTCTTATAAGTAGGTTTTTACTGTATCAATTATGAGGAAAAATTATATGCCGACTATACTACTTGTTTTTGTTTATGTTCAGTTACCAAGGTCCAGTGCTTCTGATCAGGAGGATGAGAGATGAGATCATTACAACTGAGTAAGCAGTTCAAGTTTTTGTATTTCATATCTCTCTTAGCTTTTTCTGTTTAACTGTCTCATTCACAATCCAGGGCCTGTACATTGGCACTTGTACAATGTGGCACCCATCCACTATGAGTATAGCCTTTTTCAAGACATTTTTTGGGGGGAGGGGGTGAGGGGTGTGTGTCACGCAACACTTCTTCTTTCTGTAGTTACAAAGCGTGACAAAGCTGCTCTCTGCTACTTAGTTAGCAGTGGTGTTGCATGACAAAGCATCTTTCTACTAGTTGCTGTTGAGCAGCATTACATGACTACCCAAGTACCAGCTGCAAAGGAGACTGCCATGAGAATTGTATTTGATAATTAAGTAGCTCAAGAATGACATAATAAATATGTCTCTAATGGAACAAAGAAGAAACTATCCCATCAAGAGACCAATTCCACTTGTTTCTACAGCTGCTTAGCAACTATTGTTTTGTTGTATCTGTTTTAGGGAAGGAAAGATTAGTTCAAACCGTGGCAATGATCTCCTGTTGAAGTTTTTGAAGTTCAGGTAACACATTCTTACTTTGAAATCAGACTGGTGTGTTGTTTGTATAGATCATTTGCGACTAATGTCATTGCTGCCATGTTGGATGACCATCAACAAAAGAATTCTAATTGAATGGGTGCATGGAAAAAGACACTAAGTGACATCTGATAGACTGCAAGGCTCTCCTTGCAAATTGCTTTTGGCTTCTTTCTACAGAAAAAAGGAGAATTTGACATGAGATCAAGATTCACATAGGGTTTTTTTTTCCACGCACCCCTTCAATTAGCTTTATTGATCATGTCATCCAACCTGGCTGCCAGGGTCTTTGTCATTTGAATCTCTCAGGAATGGTTTCAAACCACCTATTGTATGAAGCCCGTGTGAAAATTGCACAGCCTTTACTTTGGTAATAATTACCAAAGTAAAGGCTGTAATAAATTTAATGGTATAAATAACATACTTTTTCCCCCTCATTCAGGTATCCCAGTCTAGTTGATAGCAATGGAGAAGACGCCCTGTTGGAATACCTGGCTGCTCCTGATCAAGCTACTAAAAGTTAGTGTCATTTTAATGTTACTTGATGGTTTGTGTATCATTCAATTCGAAACTTCAACATCGCCCTTGGGCAACCCCCCAGGCCAGGCAATCCCACAGGCATGAGACATTTTAAATTTTCAGTTGGTAAAATTCTATCTGGGCTGGACCAAAATTGACCAAAATTTGTGTTCATGTGCCCCACCTTCGCATTGTACTGGGTGATCAAATGCCGATATCCCCGAGACACACATGGGAAAAATCAGTAATGGAAAAGAAAAACAATTCACCCTCCAAACACCCACCTTGACCTTCCACTATATCCCAAGTACCGTTTTTGTCATTAAAATATAAATTTTGAAGTGATCAAATTTTAGCATGCAAAGCTGTTTATATTTACCTTAAACCGTAACGCAAAGCTTTCCGAGGCCTTTACTGCAAGCCGCGATGTTGACGGTGTTGTCTCGTGATATTTTCTAGCTTCATGGTGGTTACGGGGCAACTTTTAGAATCCCTTCCTATGCCTCCTAGGTAGTGTCAAAACCCCACCCCAGTATCAACCAAAGACGTCAAATTCCCCGGGACATCAAATAGTCAAATGCTTGGGGTGTGCCGGGGGGCGGGGGGAGGGGGGGGGGCGGGGAGTCGTTGATTTTTCTATTTGATTGGTTCATTATAATGTATCTTTTTTTCCTTTGAAATTGATTATCCTATCTCTTTAAGTCCATAGGTAAATCATATAAAGAGCTTTGTCGCTCAATAGAACAGTCGGGAGCAATTCTAATGGCGTCACCAAATCTTCATTGAAGCCATCGCAAAGTCACCGAGTTTTAGAATCTAGTCAACGAATAACGTGATCACTCAGGATTACTTGAAAGTTGTCACATCTTTATCGCGTCACCATTAGCACGTGACGAGTTGCTTGGCAACTTCGAGGCGAAAACTGCGGGCTCATATTGTTGTCTGGAGACTAGAATTCGCCATCTACTTGTACTTGTGGGCCATAACTGTAGCTATTTTAGAGATTAGTAGTTTCCTGTGATTGAAGAATTAACTTTCACTTTCTGGGTTGCAGAAGCCATCTGGAACAGCTTGAATGTTGATGTTAATTTATGTAGGTCAATGTACAAGAGTTTTGTGGAGCTAAATGGCAGGGATTATCCTATGATGTTAGGTGAGCACCATCTGGTTCCCTATTAAAGGTTGCCACAGGTCAGGAAATGGTCAGGGAAAAAATGGTCAAGGAAAAGTCAGGGAAGTTTATTTTGAGTCAGGGAAAATTGACATTTTGAAGAAAAGTCATGGAAAATCGAAATAATTTAACACGGGTTTTTTTAATACCATTGAAGGCTGGTAGAAGCATTTAAGGTCACTGTGATCTCAACGATAGTTTTATGCAATGAAGAGGGAAAATTTGTTGAAAACTTATCAGTATTAATGAAAGATTGGAAAGGACGGTTGTAAAATCAGGCTAGAGATTCTTATTATATCCAACATTTTGTATTTATTTGATCAGGGAAATTTTATTTTTATCAGGGAAAAGTCAGGGTATTTTGAAAATTATGTCTGTGGCAACCATGTAATTTTGTATGTAGATTATTCTTTTCTTGTTTATGGCTGATCAAAGGTGTTTTACTTTTAATTAACAATGTACTTTCCTTGTTGTCATCAGGTCAAGATCTCTCGGCAGAACAGCGAATTCATCTGCTAATGTTTTTGGTGAGCTGCTCGAAATGTTGAATCTTTACCATTGGCATTCATTTTCCCAGTAATATTTGCTCTAAGAATTTGGCATTACATCAAAGCAGTCATTTAATGATCGTCTAAGTTATTCTCATCAGCTGTCTGCTTGACATTGTATTACCACTCTCAGGAGAAGTTAGATGCTGATCATAGCTCAGTTGAAAGGTTTTTTGTCCCTAGGTGTTGCAGTATCTGATGGACTTTGATGCCACACACTGCATCAACTTGCCAGCCTCGGAGTTTCGCTTGCCCTGGAATGAGCAGTAAATTTAATAGTAGCTTGCAGAGGAGGCTGTTTTTCCAGGCTCTCAGTGTTAGCGAAGTTTCGCACACGTGTGTCACGCGCTTTGCGTTTGCGTCACTCTACAGAAGCCCGTGAAACTGCCTGTTCTGCTCCAGAACTGCATTGAACAGTAAAATCAACTGCAATGGGAGAAGACCCATTTGACTATTTCCAGTTCCTTACCAGTCTCCCTCATGGTCGGTGTTTATTTTGTGATGAATAGTGTGAAATCGTCCACCATGAACATTCAAAGTTTTCGTTTTCAGCATGCCACGGGGATTTTATATGGTGGAGATTAGTATAGAGTTGAGTTTTGTTTACACGTAGCCTTGTCAGCTCGTAGAAAAATGTATACATGAAACAATAATTGAGCAAGCTTTTTTATGGAAATATTACACCCTTTCCAAACCAAGTCGGAAGTAATACTCGAGACTCCATTGTGGGTTTTATTTAATTCAGTATAATTTAAATTTAGTGATGAGACTTGTTGTTCGAAAATAGTGAACCAGTAAATACAGCCAGGCAGATATTAAAATGTTATCAGACTTTAACTTTATATCTAGCGTTTTAGTAGTTATGGGAATACTTCCCTTACAGTAAGGACCGAGAACACTTGACATTTTTGTATATTTTCACTGTGGTTGCCACATGTTGAAGGCTCTTCATACAATGTACAATGTCTAAAAAAGGCATTTTTGCATTGTAAAAACTCTTAATACCCTTATTGATATGCAAAGCTCTTTTGCTGTGATCACTAAAAAAGTGTACCAAATAATGTCAAATATTCACAGTTTGAGTGTCCTAGCTGTCAAATTCTCTGTATTTTCTTGCATTCCCTTGCGTTCCCTTAAGGTTGTCTAGTGCCTTTCCAACGCGTCCCACAACATACCTTTTCTCATCATTTCTGGCCATCAGTCACCTTCAGTAGCCATGATTCACCGTCACCAGACATGATTCGCATTTGCTAGACATCATTCACGATCACTTACTGAGGGGGACATGGGGATTTGCGGTGTTGCGGTGTTGGTGTTTTTTTTTATGTTTTTTTTGGTGGGTGTGCGATGTTTGTGTTTTTCACGCTGCAGTGTCCGGTGAATTGAAATTATTTGCGGTGCTGGGGTTCCTTGTTTTACCTTTCTCAAACCTAAATTTAGCCTGTAACCTTCGTTGATCCATGCCAATTTATGACAAACAGTACCACTGTTGAGTTTTTTTGTAAAAAAAAAAAAACCTCTTAGTCAACGGGTCTAGGCTATGTTTTAAACGGGTGACACACCAATCAGATTGGGGCTACTAAAAACAACCAATCAAATTGCCGCTTGTAAAGGTGAATCGTTTGTGAAGATTTCGTCCCGATTTTTGAAAGACCATCGTTTTTCTACAAAGAGAAACAGGTATTCTTGTATTGGCCTTATTCTGACATTTCCGATGCTTCGTTTTCTATGGTTGAGCCCAGGACTTTGTGGATGGGTTCCAAGATAGTTCAGAATTCGATAATCAGCCAAAGAATCATAGNTCAACGCGTTTGCGAAATCAATGGAGCAACATTAGCCACGTACAACCAGCTATTTGCAGCTTGGGAAGATGGCCTTGAGCGTTGTGTGTAAGTTAATCTTGTTATTGGTTTGTTTTCAGTACTTTGTTGTGCTTATACTCTAAGCAAGAGGTTTGACAATCTCAGACCCCCGCGAAGGTTTATCATATATCCAAATGTGACGGAACTAGTCGAGAATGGGGCAAAGAGAAAGCGGAAAGAAAGAGGATAGAAGAGAGAGAGGCTCTGACGCCCCAGCCTGCACCGCATCCCCCCCTCCCCCGTCCCGCCCCTCGGCCAGTTCATCTTGGCCCTTCCAGCCGCGGTTAGACCCTTCCAGCTGGAGTCTGTTCACAGGCTACTTTAGCACGTACTTTTCACTTGACACAAAATCCAACGAGCTTTACAGAAGTTAAAAGTTTGGCAATAGCTCACCATGTGGCTGGTTGAGGAAAAAAGTATATTTTATATTTAGTTAAAGCTTTTGGGTGTATTTTGGATTCAAAATCCTGTTAAAAATCAAAAAAGTGCTTGTTGGGAAACTATATCAAATAGCTATAGGTTATAGTACACCAAAACTCACAAGTAGCATTCAATGGCTCAATATATAGTACAGCTGTACGTATCTTCTTTAGCTACCGCACATGACCACAGCGAAATCCTTTCATAACAAATTCAACTTTTGAATTTTGAATTTCTGCCCCGCTTTAACCACGCTTAATCGAATCTAATCAGTTTGTGGAATATTTTTACCCTTACCATCAGAGTGTTCGGCTTCACTATGTTTAGGTGGCGCAAAAACTCTACTGGTTACATGTATACTTGACTTTACGGTGAAGTAAAGACTCAAAAATGTATGTAGCCTGCGAACGCAGACGTATTTCCGGCTGTAACTTGGTTCCGCCGAAAAATAACGTCTGCGAACCCGAGCCAGAAAACGATTTCTGTGACGTAGGAATTCTAAGCCAATCACAGTTTAGCTCAAATAACCCCAGAACTACTGCGCGACTCTGCGCGAGGTATTTGCTGCGAGGAGCACTCGAGTTTCATTCTATCAAGGAATCTGATTGGCCAGGGAGAAACAAAAGTCATTACGTCACAGAAATCGTTTCCTGGCTCGGGTTTGCAGACGTTATTTTTCGGCGGAACCAAGTGACAGCCGGAAACACGTCTGCGTTCGCAGGCTACTATGTATGTTGCAAAAATATAACTCACAAATTAATAGATGGGTAAATTGGGGTTAGTTTTTTACAAGGCTCCCTACCCTGTGGACTCCCTTACATGGGGTAAATGCCTAGCTCTGGGCATGTTGGCAACGTGTCAGTTAAAGATGGTAAAAACCTAACTGATCATTTCGCAGTACTTTTGAATTCATTGACCACTTGGATTTAAGCATTGTTGTTGTTGTTTGTTTGTTTTCATTACCATGTAGGTTTGGTTGGCTTGCCGATGGCACCACCCGGTATCCAATGCATAACAAAGTTTCTGACTGTGGAAATACAATTGGCATTCTAGGAACATCTACAGTGAAAAATAAACACAGCACGAAGTCCAACGCCTGGTGTTACTCTGAATGAGGAATGGACGCTAATTACTCGACACAGACCGAGGCGAGCGAGCGACTGACAGGTAGAGGGACAGACAGAGTTTCAAATGAATGACATGGCTTTGACGTCATTTTCTTGTTGATATTTAATCTCTAAAACACTGTACTACCTCGATTAGAGACCGAGTCAGCACGGGCTTATTTTCAACTTTTCGTGTAACATAGTTATATTGCAAGTTGTCACCAGTTAAAGAACAAGTTTTGCACAAAGTAAACGGAGTTCAATTTTGTGCTTTAATTTTAGGCTTTTGCTTTTCTCGCAAAATATGTTGTTGACAAATTGAAAGAAAATATTCGTATTGTAATAATATTGTAATAACACTGTAATAATATTTGGATCATAGCAACACTATGGTGAGAGTTCAAGATTATAAAAACACTTTTCTGGGGCTGGCTTTTCGAGAGTATTTCTCGTTCTTCCAGATTTCCACTTTTTCTGTTGTAAATAATCGCACATAACAAAACAGGGGCATAGCAAGCATAAATTGCACTCGATACGTTTCTTTTTAATTATTTATTGTTCCAACAGAAGGACATTGATGCAATAAACGAAACGTTAGTTATGACGTTTAGATTGAATCGTATATCTTAAGGCAGGCATGCGCTGGATTTTGTCGCAATATATCAAACACGAGAGAGAGTGTTTCGTCGGAATATCCACACACCAAGAAGAGAGTGGAAAATGCGACGCGCAGAGGAGTATTTTTGACGGAATTCAGTGCTTGGATAGCCGATGAAGCACTGTCTCGAATGTTTGATATATCTTCTCAATCGAAACAAGAACTAAGGAGTAAACGGACGCGAAAAATCGGCAATATCCTTGGCGGATATCCAAACCTCCCTCACGGTTGTGATTTTCTTGTTTTAACTTGATGAATTGTTCATGAGTTCGAGAAAGTACATCGCACCACGGAGTGGACTCTCGTCCATGATTACTATTTTTTTCGTTTTTACCCCCACGTTTTTGCAATTAATTATATATGCAAGCTGTCTTAGAACGAAACTTGAACAATCAGTCAAGAGCAACAAGAAAACGATTCTCCTTGAAAATACTCAGTTAGCCCAAGCTCTGCTGCAAAAAAAAAAAAAAAAAAAAAAAA